ACAATGTATCAACCACTGCAACTGCTGACATCAGTGACTCCTTACTCGTTAATGTCTGTTCAGACTTTCCCTTTATAAGTCAGTCTAGACTGTTATGTTTCTAGGAATTTATTCATTTCTTCTAGATTGTCTAATTTGTGGATACAGCTTTTGAGCACAGAATTTTTAAATGATCTATTTATATTTCTTTTCTATCAGTTTTAATGTTTCTGCTTTTATTTATAATTTCATGTATTTAAGTCTTCTTTCCTTTTCATAGTATAATTAAAAGCTTCTCAATTTTTATTTATCTTTTTAAAAACAACTCTTGGTGCCATCCATTTTTCCTACTATTTTTCTAATATCTATTTCATTTACTTATGCACTGATTTTTATTTGCCTCCTTGCTGCTGACTTTGGGTTTAATTTGTTCTTATTTCATAAGGTGCAAAGTTAGGTTATTTCAAAACTTTCAGGTTTTTAAATGTAAGTGTTTATTGCTAAAAATATCCTTAGAACTCTTTTTTGCCTATAGCATATGTTGTGTTTCCATTTTCATTTGATTTTTTTTTTTTTTTTTTTTTTTTTTTTTTTTTTTAGTTCTTTGACTCATTGGTTATTCTGGAATATGTTAATTTCCACACATTTGTGAGTTGGCCTGCTTTCCTCCTGTTATTGATTTCTAGTTTCATACCACTGGAGTTGGAGCCTGAATTCATTAAAACTTGGTTTTTTACTTGACATATGATCTGTCCTGGAAAATCTTCCATCTGTTCATGAAAAGAGTGCTTATTTTGCTATTATTAGGAGAAATATTATGCATATATCTGTAAATGTTCTACACACATATTGCTACATATTAGTGTATGGTGTTAAAATCTTCTGTTGCCTTACTGATATTTTTATCTGGATTATCTAATCATTGCTGAAAGTGTGCTATTTCTGTTAATAATTTCTTATATATGTAGGCGTTTACACATTGCATGCATATATATTTATGATTGACCTATACTCCTGATGAATTGATTATTTCATCACCATACGTAGTTATCATCTCTTTCTACAGAAGATGCATTCTAGGACAATAAGTAGATGCTCAAAACCTTAGTAATACTGAGCTCTGTAATACTAGCATTATAACATCTTAACAGTTGATAGCTGAGATGGCTAGCAGGTGAATACAGTGGGTAGGGTATGTAGCTTGAATATCATGGACAAAAGACTAATTCACACACAAGGCTGGAAGAAGTCAGGCAGTGTGAGATTTCATCTTGCTACTCAAAACATCATGCAATTTACACCTTAAGAGGTGTTTATTTCTGGAATTTTCCATTTAATATTTTCAGGCTGTGGCTGACCAAGGGTAACTGAAACCACAGGAAAAAAACATGCATAAGGGAAGACTACTGTAGTGACCCAGTGACAGTTTTTGACTAAACTTTGTCTACCATAAGGATAGTCATCTTCCCTCTTTTCATTGCCACTTGAATGGAATATCTTCTTCCATTCCTTCACCTCCAGCCTGTTTGCGTCCTTAAAGCTAAAGGTAGTATCAGCAGGCATAAAATAGTTAGTCTTACATTTTTAAAAAGTCTGTTCAGCTACTCTCTGTCATTCGATTGGGAGATTTAGTCTGTGTACATTTAATGGAACTATCAATAGGTAAGAATTTAGTAATACTAATAGCACTTTATTAATTGTTTTCAGACTGTTTTGTACTTCCTTTGTTTCTTCATCTTCTTGCTATCTTCCTTTAGGTTTGATTTTTTTTGTAGCGGTGTAGTTTGATTCTTTTATCTTTTGTATGTTTGTTACTGGGTCTTTGTTGTTTAAGGAGCTAACATAAAATATCATATTTACAACCTTCTATTTTAAGATAACAACTTATCCTCTACAACATACAAAAACTCTACATTTTAACTTCTCCTTCCTCTACATTTTACATTCTTCATGCCGTGTTTATATCTTTTATATATTATGCACCCATTAACAAATTATTGTAACTATGAATCTTTTAATGCTTTTGTCTTTTATTTTTATTTATTTATTTATTTATTTTTGGTTTTTCTCTGGTACCAGGAACCGAACTCACGACCTTGCGCATGCCAGGCAGAAGATTTTGCCACTGAGCTAAATCCCCAGCCAGCTTTTGTCTTTTAAATTTATAGCATAAGTAAGTGATTTTTATATAATGAGTTTAGTAGTACAGCATTCTGAATTTGACTATGTTCCCTGAGGTTTTTTTCACATATGTTTTCATTTTCTTAGTAACCTTTTTGTTTCAACTTATGAACTTCCTTTAGCATATTTTATAAGACAGTTTTAGTGGTGTAAGCTCCCACAATTTTTGCCTATCTGGAAAATCTTTACCTCTCCTTCTTTTTTAACAGGCAACTTTGTTGGGTATAGTATTCTTCTTTTTTAATTTTAAAGAGAATAATTTTAAAAAAGAACAATAGCAAAATACCAACAACATAGACAAAAGCAAAACAAAACCAAAACAATCAAAAATGATGCAGGGTTTCAGACAAAAATGGTAAGAATTAACAGTGGTTGTTATATTACATATTGTTATCTTCAACGAAGCTGTTCAGATTATCAGATGTAATGATGCAAGATTGATCAAACCATTAAAGAGAATAAAAATAAAAACAAAAAAATTACCAATACAGAGTTTTCACTAGACAAGATGGTAGGAATTCACCAATGGTTGTTATATTGCATATTCTTGTCTTCAAATTCATTGTTCAGATTATCAGATATAATATTCTCAGTTGGCAGTTTTTCTTTTGGTACAGATGCTCTTCATTTTAAGATGGGATTATACCACAATAAGTGCATCATAGGTTGAAAATGTCATAAGTAAAAAATGCATTTAAACTGATCTGCATCACTGCTTAACAACACAGTGCACTGCAGAGTATTGGTTGTCTTCCTTCATGATCACGTGACAGACTGAGAGGTGAAGCTCACTGCTGTGTCCAGCCTCTCAGCCAGCCTGAGAAAAGACTAAAATTCAAAATTTGAAGTATGGTTTCTACTGAATGTGTATCAGTTCTGCACCATTGTAAAATCAAAAAATGAAACATGGGGACCATGTCTACTTTGAATAAGTCATATGACTCTCTCCTAGGTTGTAAGATTTCTGCTTAGAACTCTACTGAAAATCTCAGGAAGAGTCCCTTGTATGTGACAAGCCACTTGTCTCTTGTTGGTTTTAAGTTTATTTTTGTCTCTGAGTTTTTGAAAATTTGATTGTAATGTGTCTTCATAAGGATTTTTTAAATATTTGATCCATTTGAGTTTCTTTGGGCTTCATGAATCTCTATGTTCATTTCCCTCTTCACATTTGGGAGTATCATTTGGGAAGGTTTCTGTCATTATTTCTCTAAATAAGCTTTTAAGAGACAAGGTCTTTTTTTTTTTTTTTTTTTTTTCCAGTCAGAAATCAAACTCAGGACCTTGCACTTGCCAGGCAGATGCTGTGCCACTGAGCTGTACCCTGGGCCTAAATAAACTTTTAGCCCTTTCTCTCTCTCCGCTCCTTCTGTGACTCGCAGAATGCCTATTGGCTTTCTCGACAGTCTCTTATATAAGCCTTTTAGGCTTTCTTCATTCTTCTTTTTTCCATTTGTTCCTCTGAGTAATTTCAAATGCACTGCCTCTGACTGTGCTGATTTTATCTTTGTTGAACTACCTATCTTGTTTGTATTGTTTTCCTGATTTTGTTTGGTCATCTATCTGTATTCACTTGTAGCTCATTGAGCTACTTTAAGACAATCATTTTGAATTCTTGTTTAGGCAGCTTGTGGGTCTCCCTTAGTGTCAGTTATTGTTTATCATTTTATTTTATTCCATTTCTGATGTTATTTTCCCCTGGTTATCATCCTTATGGCTTTGTGCTGGTGTCTGGACATTCAAGGAATTAAGCACCTTCCCATCAGAGAAAGCCTCTGGTCAGACCATCCAAAGATTCTGGGTGGGCCAGTTGGTGGGGACGGGGAGCACACTTGGAACTAGAGTCCTCAGGCAGGCTGGCCTGGTGACAAGACTCACAAGGGTGGGCCTGGTGACTGTGTCCAAAGGGGATGCCTGGAGCCTTGGTTTATTGGGGCTTCCAGTATCCTGTGTGAGGACTAGTTTGAAGCTAATTGATCCCTAGAGGGGTGACTCGATACTGGGTTGGGCAATAAGCTTGACTCTACAAGGGCCAGTCTGACATGGGGATCACATGCAGGGCAGTTAGGGAGAATGTCAACTTGATTGGCTTTGGGATCTGACCAGGGCACTGGTGGAGCACTTTTGGGTATGTCTGGGTGGGTTATGGAGGCATAACCTTGGGTTCTATAGCTGATCATTCACCCCTCCTTCTCTGACACTGTCCTGACACTGTTTTGCTTTCTGTCTGCTGTGAATTAAACAACGAAGTATGTTGCTTTGCCACATATTTCCATCATGACGATTCTGCCTAGGGGCAGCTGACAATGGACTGAATCCTCTGAATCCATGAGCCAAATAAAAACTCTTCTCCTTTAAGTTGTAGGGTCCAGTATTGTAACACAAGATGGGAAATCTGACTAATGCAACGTAGTATTTTGGTTTATGAGAATGGATCTGGTCCTTAGTCTACAAAAGTCATCTTGGTATTGGGGTCCACTGAGGTAGGCCCACTAGCTGGGTCTAAGAGACTGGTCTAGAGTCTGAGTTCATGAGGGCTAGTCTGGTGTTGTGGTGAGTTGACCTTAGAGTCTAGAGACATAGTGTCCAGTCCAGGCCTGAAGTACACATGCTGGGGGATGATTTTAGACCCTGGAGCTTCAAGGGTCTGTGGCCTGACCCTGGGACACAGAAGTTGGTAGGCACATTGTGGTGAGCTTGGAGACTCAGGTTCCAGGCTGGAAGTTAGGGTTGCAGTGGCTGGCCTGATGCTAGAGCTTCCTAGGACAAGCCTGTTCCTGGGTTATTTGGCAATGGTGAGTATATATATCACTCTCCTTCCTTAATCAAAGGCAATCTCCATATTGAGCTGCCTAGGCTTGGGAACAAGGTGATGTGGCTAATGCGAAGTTGTCCCTCCTGTAATCTTCAATGCATCTTTCCTTATTTCTGTGCTCCAACCAAGTGCTTTAGCCTCTCCCTCAGATTTCTTAGTTCTTGGGAAGGTAATTTTGTGTTTGGAAAGTTTTTCACATTGATATTTCTGCAAGTGGATGAATGTTGGAATCTCTTATTCTGACATCTTCTTGACATCACTCCCTGAAACAGTTAATATGTTAAACAAATATACACAGGAATAAGATGTTCATGGAATGTATTGACAAGACAAAAAGTTGAAACTGTTGGCAGAAACCAAAAGTCAATATTAGACCCAAGCAAATATTGCCTGCAGTGTGCCCTGGGATAGCTGCAGACTGTTCATTTTTAAGTGGCAAGAGACACTCTCACCTCCCAAACCACAGAAACAATTGTGCTTTCAGGTAGTAGATTTCAATTATTCTGATTGCTTCTAAATACAGTGCTTAGATTTTAAGGATTAATTTTTACTTTATGAAGAATCTATTAATTTGTGTTTTAACTTTCTGAATATCTAGACAGTCTGGAAGGAATTGATGCTTTTGTATATGGAAATATTTAAATACAAAATACTTAAATATCAAAGATAATATTTGACTGATTTACAATTTTTAAATAGATTTGAATATTTTCACAGGTTTTCTTTATGTAGTGATTCTGGACTAGTAGTGTCACTTTTTACAGTGATTTTATTTTTGCTTAAATCCTGAAGTTTTTATAACTGTTCAATTCTTCTCTTTCAACTCTCTTTTCAAAATTATTAGCAACAGAGGTGAAAAGTTAGCAATCACAAAATAATAGTCTAGAGATGTTAATCTGTGTCTGGGGAGGGATTATAAAATTTCCAAATTCCTTGACAAAAAAAAATGTACCCAAAAAACTCCTTATTTTCTATATTGGTGATCATGTGCTTTGATTTGAAATTCAGACATTTACAAGGTAGTCTATACCTTTATTAAATTAAAGTTCAGGTTAAATATATGTTAAATACAGTGTAAAAGTAGGGAAAGTTGTAAATGAGTTGTTTTCTTTCTTTCTTTTTTTTTAGTATGTTTGCATTCACTAAGGCAGCTTACTTCATTTGCTTGTTTGGCACAGTTTTTGGTGGTAAGTAAATCATCTGTGATAGATATAATTAAGTGAAGCAAAGCTCACCACGCTGGAGAAAGCTTTTGATTTACACAGCTTTAAGGAAGGAGGCAGACCTGGGTAATTCCTTTTATTGTCTCTGTTTTCCATTTGGAGTCAAGAACTAATTCCCAGATATACTGCCGTAAACACACATGTTTAAGGGGGAAGACCAGAAGTGAGAATGTCCTGTGGCACATGTTCCCTAAACCTCTCTACAATGCAGATCCTCAAATAAACAATCACTCACCTATTTTCATTATTAACATTTTAAAAATAAGCTTTACTTAAAAATTAAAAAAAAATATTGGGCACTTTATGGTGTCTGGGTCCATTCTAAGGATCTGACAGGCACATGATACATACTTCTGCTGTAGGCCACTAGGGAAACATTTCAGAAATGAAAATAACTTGTTTAAATTCAGCTTAGTACACCATCCCTTTGATATACTAGGCAAATTGTTTTCAACCCTGGATTTCTATCTCATTTCTTCCTCTGTCTATTCCATTAGTTTTCAAATAAAGCTGGAGGCTCATTTTCATTAGTCATTGTAGAAATGATAGATTTTTCTTTGGGCTACCACTAGAGGTCAATTCTGAGTCTATGATGACCTAAAATGGTCAAATCGAGCTTGTTTACTTACCGCACAGTTGTCTGACAGGAAAAAAAAAAAAAAACCCTCTGGGTTAGGTTTACATTTCTGAAGAGAAATAATTTCTTCAAGAAAAAGCTTTTTAATCCTCAAATCATATTTTTCTTACATCTATCCCCTCAACCCTAACCATAATCTTTATCATAATCATTGCTATGTAAAAACCAGCTAAATTCTGAGCAGTACAAACCAGAGATTCTGTGGACCATGCTTACTTCAATTTTTTAGCATAAAAGAAAAAAATCACAAGTATGCTGGGGCAACCAGAGGTATAAATACACAGAAAATGAGAAACTACATGTTACATGTAACCCGTAAAGTGAAGAAAAAGTTATTTTAAAAATCTTTTGTTTGTCCTTTTTAATATTTTTCTATATCTATCTATTTACTCATTTTACAAAGGCTATATTAACTATAGATGCTTTAAAACTTTTTGCCACTCATGATTACCTTTAATAAAATACATATATTTTTGGTGTCCTCTTTTCATAGTATTTTTGTAAACTTCTTATACACATATTCAATTATATTTGTAGATTAAGCTTTGGGAAATCAAAGTACTAAATACAAAGGTATGAATAATTTTGAAGGTTTTCTGACATGCATGTGAAATTATCCTCCAGATGGGTTATTCTCTAGTTCTCTTTTCCCACTAGCAAGTAAGAGTGTTCAAATGTTCTACTTTGATCAACTCTAATTGGCTTCTATTGCCATATAGCTAACATTCATTTACCTTTCTGAAAGCAGTACGGATATTTATTTTTTGAAAATTGTGTCCTCTCACTTTGGGCTGATGTCCTGGTGAAATTTCTTCTGCTTTTGACACCAGAGCTGGAGCTAAGGACTCAGTCAGATCCCAATCAGGAAGTGCGCATATATTGCTGGCACTAGACCAATCAGAGCCCAACAGGTTTTTGCTTGGATGTCCAGAAATATGATGTTTACTTTTTTCCAGTTGGAAATGGAGTATAAGACAGGCTGGGCCTGGTGGTGCACGTCTGTAATCCCAGCACTTGGGAGGCTGAGGCAGGAGGATCATTGCAAATTTGAGACCAGCCTGGGCTACAAAGTGAGCTCAAGACCTGCCTGAGCTGCTTAGAGAGACCCTATTTCAAAAAGAAAAAAAAGAGAGAGAGAGAGAATACAGAGACCTGAGTTGAGCTACTGGTGCCATCTCTCTATGACATGGTAGCACCATGGAACAGAGCAAATGGATACAAATTTTGTGCTGACGCTGTCCTTTGAGAAAAATGTGTAGTTATTCTAGAAGTCAGATTCACAATGTGCTTTTTGGTTTCTGAATCAATAAATTTTATTTGTCCTCAAGCCACTTTGAATTACATTTCCTATCATTTGCAACCCAAATCAGTTATTTAATCTTCAATTTTTTCACTAATCTTGCAAATAAAGTTACATGTAGTTTTAACTTTTATAAATTTATGATTCTTATCAGATTTTATTTACTATTTCTAGCCACTTTTACATATGAAAAATTATATTTTCATATCTGCTATATAATTTTTAAAAATTAAAATGCTTTTCTTCTCTTTCTGATCATGTAATTTTTTAACAACCTGAATAGCCTGGGCATGGACATAGGGAGCCATCTGGAAGCTGAAAGCTATGATCATTGTGAGATAACTTGTGTTACAGCACCTTGCATACATTCCAAAATAAATCACAGATGAAGCTATAATTACCATCATCAACACCATCATCATCACCACCAATTTATGAGAATAAGCATTAACATTTAGGAGAACTTTCTTCCCATTCAGCTTCAAAGCTGATGCATTACTAGTGTGATCCCCTTCCATCTGCAGAGTCTCATGGAATTTCAAAGATTCTTCTGCAGAATGGGAACTACCAAGTTACCACTGGTCATGATTTGTACTCTTTTATGTGCATTGGGATGGGGTCATGGTGACCACTGGTAATTATGAATCAGCTGAAAACATCTACTTCCAAAAAGCAACTCCATTTATAACAAGCATGGTCACAAGACCAACTACTCAGTGTTTTGTGCACATAGGAAATCCAAGAGTGCACAATTAGGAGCTTGTATTCCCAAAAGCTTCTACCCTGAGAGATCTATGCTGCTTCCAAATATAAACGTTACCCAAGAGGTGAGCATCTTAGCCTCTTCCCTGGGGGAAAGGTAACCAGTTATGTTGGTTTGAGTCATCAACATGTGACTCAGGGCCAGAAGCCCCAGAACCGTAGAGTAGTTCAGAGAAAACATTACATCCTCAATGTCTAGTGAAATATTTGTTGTCTTAACTGCCCCTTTCCTGGAAGACTACATAAAAAACAGATACTATTTAAATTGAAAGGTGACTACTGTGTTAGGGAATGGACAAAGTTGTTACTGGATTAGTGCATGGTTCATGGACAGCTGATCCATGAAAATGGAGGTGCTACGTGAGCTAGAAAACTTATTAAGCAGATTTTGAATTGGGCTTTTCAAGGTAAATCTAAGTTCATATGTTAAAGCCAGCAAAGACACTGAAGATACAATATATGCAAAATACTATACAACAGTGATTAATTCCAAACAGCAAATGGCTCCAAATTTATTTTCAATTTAGCATATGCATGCATTCCTTAACTATCATGTAAAATTTATTTGTTTGTTTGTTTATGCTTCACAGGAGACTGAACCCAGGACCTTTGCACTGAGCTACATCCCCAGCCTTTTTTATTTTTATTTTTGAGACAGGATCTTGCTAAGTTGCTGAGTTCAGGCTCCAACTTCCTATCCTCCTGTCTCAGCCTCCCGAGTGCTGGGATTACAGGTGTGCACCACCACTCCCTGATTTAAAAATTAGCATTCAAAAATAATCACAACTCTTAGTTTGCTTGAATTAAACTGAGATGAGGGAAAATGTTTAATACTATGTCCTACAGAAGGGGACAAGACTGAGAAAGAAGGGCTGAGATTTTTGCCCCAAGACTTTCATTAATTGTGTGACTCTTGGGCAAATCTCTACACCCTGAGCCTCAGTTATCTAACTTCTTTTAAAAAATTTCAGATATAAATAATAAAGTTCCCCCTATAAAGCTGTGAAAATCTAGTAGGGATTTTTATTAAAGTGTTTTAAAAATAAATCAAAAGTTATTAATTTTAAGGCATGATTTTTTTAAGCATGTTAATTAACAGGGAGAAATTGATTGTGTTTTATGTGCAAAAGGAAAATAGATTGTGTTGTATGTGCAAATGTTTGTATGTTTTAATAAAGCTTTTTTTACAGAAGTACCCAGAAAATGACACTGATGTATTTCTATTAAGATTATTATTTGTATTTATTCCAAGTTAATTTTTAACAATTATATCACAGGATGTCTGACTCAATGGTACAAAAATACCTTCTTCAGAGGTGGAGATGTAACTGCTAAGTACACCCCAGATGCCCAGTACTGTAAGATGCTGTGCACTTTCCACCCCAGGTGTTTGCTGTTCAGTTTTTTTCCAGGAAGTTCAACTAATGACCCAAAAAGAAGGTAAAAGTTTGTATTTTCTCATAGACAAAATCAATCATTTTTCAAAATAGTATCAGCTATGTGCAGAAAGGTATATGTTTTAATTTTCTCCTCACTGAGACAAAATAACCAACACCCAAGAGTTAAGGGAGTAACAGTTTATTTAGCTCACAGTTTGTAGAGATTTCAGTGCTGGCTTCAAGGCAGGGTGGCATGGCGGAGGGGCACTGCAGAGAAGAAACAGTTTATGGTGGGTAGAAGGTAGCAAAGCAGCAAATAGAAAGCAACGAAACAGGAAGCAACAGGTGAGAACACTAGCCCTCTTTCTGTCCCTTACGTTTTATCCAGGCTACTGACCCTGAGGTCAGGTAGCACTTACACCCAGGGTGGGGCAGCCTTAACCCCATCCTTGATCCTACCAAGTCCACTATGTGAAACCAATCAAAGGACTAACTTTGTAGCTCACACCCTTGAGTGCAGCATCACACACTTGATCTCAGCATCACGCTCTCTAGATACAACCGCCTCTGAGAAGCCCCATCAATGGGAGCATGAGGCTTTGTAGGAACATCTAGAGCCGACCTATGACAGTGCGCCATCTCACAAGGTCACTTTTCAGATGGAGTCCAGGGACCACTTTCATCAGAAAGCTCTGGAGTGGTTCTTTCAAAAGCAGACTACGACACCAGAGACCAGACCTGCTGAACCCAAGGTTCTTGGGCCTGGAAATTTGCATTTCATGTATTCATTGTATTTATGTAAAGTAGTAGAAAGTAGTTTTTTTTTAAACCCCAAACCTCCAGAAAAATACTAGAGAATCATTGCATCAAGGTATTATCTCAAAAAAGAATCTAATAACAAGTATTTCATTTGAATAAAGAAAGTACTTAATTATCTGAATTATTATCATACTTGTGGGTAGCACGGTCTTAAGAAAATATAACACAGCTGGGCGTAGGACACACCTGTAATGGAAGCGCTGTGGGAGACCGAAGCTGGAGAACAGCACATTCCAGGCTGCTTGGAACTTCCAAGGAACTCAGTGCCTTGGTGAGACCCTGGTCTAAAATAAAAAAGGGCTGGTGATGTAGTTCCCACAAACATCTTGAGTTTGCTTCCCAGCCCCACATCAGAAAAACAAAGAAAGAAATAATAATATGACATAAGCAAAGCTTTTTATTAGGAATATGATTAAGAGAGGGAAGATTTTAATCGTGCCTGTTCTGAGCCAGTTTTGACACCTTTAGCATGCATTCTGTGCCCGAGTGTTTGTGTGTGTGTGTGAGTGTGTGTTTGTGTGCAAGAATTGGCACATATATGCATGTGCTATTAGCTGGCAACTTGGAAGAGTAAGAGTATTTGAAAAATAGTTGGTAATCAAAAATTTTATTAGGTTGTGAGCATGCCATAATTTCATCTTAATTTTCTTTCATTTTGATCAATGGCTGAACTGATATTTTATTCCCATTTCCATAATTCTTGTCTCTTATTTTTGTTGTATTTCAGTATAAAAACTAGAAACTGGGTAGTCATTCTCTACTCCGACATGTTAAGCTATCCAGAAAGCCTGGCCTCTATGTGAGAATAATCATATTGAAACTTGAGCCAGGAACTGAGTCTGGAATCTTTGTGAATAGTGAGATTAACATCAAACTTGACATTAAGGGCAGAAGGAAGTCTTCCAATAGATGTAGACTGGAAGGAATTAGTAAGCAAAATGAATCCAAATATACATCCAACTCGTGACTGATTCAATTATTAAATAAATAAAAATATATATATAAATAGTCACCTATTGGGAACACAGTTCTCTGAAAGTTTAGAAACACAGGAATAACCATTAATTATTTAATGTTGTTGACCCTCTGTACTTTTTGGACCCACTGTATGTTAAAAAAAAAAAGTGTAACTTTAAAAAAAATTCTGAAGTGTGGTATTACACAAACCATTAGATACTATAGAATCACCTCTAAAAATGGTCTTTTCAAGTGTCACAGAAATGACATTTTTCTTAGTTCTAAGCTTTTTTGGTAGAGAAATTCCTAGACACAAGCCTAATATATGTTTATTATTCTACCTAAATGAGCCTTCTTTTAAAAACAGGTTTGGTTGTTTCTTGAAAGACAGTACTACAGGAATTCTACCAAGAGTGCATTGGACAAATGCAATTTCTGGACATTCCTTAAAACAATGTGGTCATCTAATAAGTGGTAAGACATGAATTTATTAGCTCAATTTGAGTTAGTGGTAGATCTTAGAAGAGTTATTGGTCAAAGTCTGTACTGCCAAACCTTTGAAAGAAAACACTAAGAAAGAACACAATCGGGGAAGTATTCTGAATTTAAGAGGGAACCATATTCGTTTGGACAATTTTCTTGTCTTTGTCAGTCAATACACATATGGTCAGTGAGCTTCTGCTGTTTATGAGGTTCACAGGACTTTCAGAAAGTGTGTACATATCCAATCAATAGTCTCTCTCTGATTCCAGGTAAGACACTTGAAAGAAAACTCAGGAAACATCTCTCTCCCAAGTTGACTTGAGAAGAATTGGTGGTTCTCAACCAGAAGTGATTTTGCTCTTCTCAAAGAACATTTGGCAGTGTCTTAAGATACTTTTGGTTGTCACAAATAGGGGAATTGCTACTACATGTAGTGTAGCCAGAAATGCTGCCAAATATTCTACATAATGCAGGGCAGTTCCCCACAGAAAAGAATTTCCTCTTCCAAAATATCAACAATGCCACTAATAAGAATTTGGGAAACCTTGTATACTATTCAGCCCAAATTACAGGATGAAACTCTGTGAATCTTGGTATGAAAATACTTCTTAGAAGACACATGAAGTGCTAGAGAACTTTATTTCTGACATCTAGTGGTGCTAATGTATTGGGAAAAAATTTTTTTTAAACTATGCTCTAATATGGTTGAGGCTGGTCAGAGAACGAAATGTGCCTAAAAAGATTTTGTCAAGTCATGGACAGGTGGAATGTTAAAATAACCATTCTACGACTACACACTGTTACACTATTACTTTATCTTTACTGTTGACATTTAATTTGTAGGTTTAAATTTCATGTGTTTCAAAATTTGTCACCTTTCCCTCTCCCTTTAACAGCACTTCCTCAGTGTGTACACTTGCACACACATCACACACACACACACACACACACACACACACACACACACACACCTTAAGCCTGCACTTTGAATTGCAATCAGTTAGCAAAGGTTGACAGTCCCTTAGTTATAAATGTGGAAGGCTGACTTAGACAGTGTAGCCTACTTGTGAAGTATATTTCCTATTTTACAAGAGCAAATTTATGCATTCATACAATTTGATCTAAATTACTCAGTTAGGGGCTATTTAGATAAATAACTACATCTTACAGTAAAATTTAATGAAAAAGAATGTTGTAAACTCAGAACTGCTTAGTTATTATTAATTTATTCTAAAACTTAGTCTTAATCACTGAGCTTGATTTTAAAGTTACTTCTTAACTCTTCCCAAATATCTTAAATTAAAATTTTAAAATGCTCCAGAAGGGGCTGGGGATTTAGCTCAGTGGCACAGTGCCTGCCTGGCAAGCGCAACGTCGTGAGTTCAATTCCCGGTAATGGAAAACAAAACAAAACAAAACAAAAAAAACAAAAACAAAAACAAAATGCTCCAGAAAACCTCTAAACTCAGGTACACATTTAGTCAAAACATCTGGAGATAAATTAAAGCTTTCAGGTACTCAGGATTATAAGTTTTGTTTGTAAATATTCCATCTCAACTTTCAGCCTATTTTCTCATGTGCAGCAAATTTGAGGAGACTTTACTTTTTAAAGGTTCCTGTTACCATGAGCCCCGGAGGATAACACACTTACATCCCTCTCACAGCAGCATGTTGTTTTCCTGGGAGCTTTTGTATTTTCTGTCTTTCTTATGCTCAAAATTATTTTTATGACTTCATACTTCTCAGTAGAAAGTAATACACAATTGGTTATGATTTATATTGAAGGTTATTCTGCTTCCTTAAGCAAAAGTCCAACATATTTGAGTCCAAAAAAACAAAAAAATAAATAAAAACAAGAGCCTAATTTGATTCACTACCTGTTAGATGAATTATCTACAGTTTTGCTTATATGAAATTTTTGTTTAAAAGGGTGCTTAAATAGAAAAATAGAATTGAACAAAAGTTTAAAGCAAGAATGAGAATCGTTTCCTCATGCACATACGAGAATGCTCCATGTTTATAAAGATTTGACATGGAAAGTCAGTGTTAGAGCTTATGAATGAAGCTCATAATCATACCTGAGTACTTGAAAGTAAAGAAATAAACCAGATAAAGAAGCTTCTTCATATAGTGCAAGAGATGAAAGGCTTATCAATTTAAGAGGGCAAACCCCTGGCACACATTATCAGGATCCTTGTTTTTATTTCCTTGCTTATTTTCCACTGCGCATTGATTATCCCAACATGAAATGATACCTGCTGCATGCACCTTGTGGTTTAGGAAGCAAAATAGTTCCTACTTAATGCTAGTACTCTAGGGGTGGTATTATACCATGTTTATTTTGGCCAGAAGTTAATAATTTAGTGACATGATAAAATCTGAAGTTCTTTAGTTTATAGCCCTATAGACATAAATGGGTTTTTTTTCTTCCCATGCTACCCTGCTGCCCACATGGTATGTGATGACTTTCCCCCTAGAGAGGAAATTGACTGAGTCTGCTCTATGTGTTTCATGTGTTCAGCCTGCCACCGAGATGTTTATGAAGGAATGGACATGAGAGGGTCCAATTTCAATGCATCTAAGGTCCAGAGTGCTGAAGAATGCCAGAAACTGTGCACCGATAACATCCATTGCCAGTTTTTCACGTATGCCACACAAGCATTTCACGATGCAGGGTACCGGTGAGTCAAATTCATGGGTTTTCTTCTTTGCGAGGGTGTTTTCAGGATTTAATTGTATTCTTCATGACATTACTTTTTCCTTTCAACTGAAAACCAAGCAGGGATTTAGTCCTAATCACTTTCTTCATCTACTTATGCAGTTTGAGTATCATTTTTACTGAAGAGAATAAGTACCGTTTGGTCCACAGATAAACTGTGTATGTGGAATGAAGGCCTAGAGTTGTAGAAAAAAGCGTTCTGTCCCATCTTCAATCTAAACTCCCATCTGCAGATGGGAAAGATGTCCATTTCAGTGACAGCTCAAGCCCCCAGCCCATGAGCCAGTCAAGGTTATTGCTCTAATTCCCTTGCTGTCCTCCACTGCCCAGGGTCACTTTAATGCCAAGTATTATGAGGACTGCTCCATGCCTCTCAAAGCACGGAAAGCAAAGTAACCTTTTTTTTTTTCTTTTTTTACTTTCAGGAACTACTGCCTATTAAAGCAGAGTTCAAGCGGAACACCTACCAGTATAAAGATGGTGAATAACGTGGTATCTGGATTCTCACTGAAGCCCTGTGCGCTTTCAGAATTTGGTAATTGGAGGACTACTATTTCACCATATGGCTGTAGTAGGTAGATTAAGAGTCTCCAGTATCTGTAAATGTGCTGCCTGATCAGCAAATGTCTTCCTAGATGTGACTAAGTCAAGGGAATTATTCTGCATTATGTGGATGTGCGCACTCTAGACCCAAGGTTCTTATAACAGAAAAAGGGCGGCAGAAGGGCCAGTCAGGCGCAGAGATTTGAAGGTGTCACATTGTTGGCTTTAAAGATGAAGGAAAGTCCACAGGCAAGGGAATGCAGGGACCTCTGGAAGCTGAAAAAGGCAAGAAAAGAGACTCTCCTTACAGCTTCCCAAAGGAACAGAACCCTGCCAGTATCATAGCTGTAATCTAATAAGACCTATTTCAGACCTTCTGTCTCTAGAACTGCAAGTAATAAATTTGCATAGTTTTAAGCATTTAAATTGATGAATATACTCCTGATACAGCAGTAATAAGAAGCCAGTGCAGTGATAATGTACAGAAACCTGGCAAGGATCTCTTGATGGTGCTCATATCTAGTGATGACTCTACCATATGGTCAAAACGCAGTTTTGGGGGTCCTCGCTCCGCCATCTCCATTACCACTCTATATTGCTTTTGGCAAAACAAGCTAGCTCTCAGAAAGTGATCCTTGGAATAAGGAGTGCCTGTCCTTTTGATCTGCACAGGTCACCTCATGACTGCAATACCCTAGAGCCACCTCAAAAGTTGGGAATCAGGACCATAAAATACCTAAAAGCAGTGGAAAATTTAAAAATGATTAAAGTAAAAACTTAAAGATTGAAAAAGAGTCAGGATGACTATTTTAATTTTTTGCTGTTTTGTTTTGTTTGTAAAGGTCATTATTGGAAAAGGAATTGTATCAGTCTAGTTGATTCTACAGAGAATATTTAGGTAGATATTACTGTGGAGAAAATGAAAAACAAAAACAAAAACAAAAACCCTAATATCTGCAGTAGTCGTGAAAAGAAATGGATCCTGTCTTGTGACAGTGAGCTCTTCATCCTATTAATGTCAAGTATAGGTATATGATAACTTGGGAAGGGTGTCCCTGTGAGGGCACAATTGTAGGTCAGCATTCTCTTGCCTATGTTCTCTTTCAACTTCTGTGGTTTATATGCATTTGTTTTATTCAATTTTCTCCCGTTCTAATTCCAAAGGGCAAACAGTATTTTTGTTAATGGTCTAGAACTTTTGTAATCTGTTTCTGTTGAAACATTTTTCATAATGTTCAAGAATATATAACATATGCCCACTTCAGGGTCAAGGTAATATAAAGCGAACATGAACACAAGCTGAGTTGCCTAAACACTTAGTGCTGGTGGAGGATGGAAGTAGGAGCAGCGGTTGGCTTATTTTTATTTCTTACCAGAGTTAGAACAGTTTTGTCTTCTTCCAAATGGCAAACAAATTTGGGGCTATTTTAACAGATAATTTTTCACTTAGCATGTTTAGCGTTACAAATAGTAACTCTTGACTCCCTTAGCGGTGATGACAGTGAACAAGCACCGTTAGCATTATGTCACTGAACGAGGAATGTCTTTCCTCTGTGAGTTCATAGGTTGCCGCATGGACCTTTTCCAGCATGTTGCATTTTCAGACGTGAACTTAGCCAGAGTTATCACTCCAGATGCTTTTGTGTGTCGAACCATCTGCACCTACCATCCCGGCTGCCTCTTCTTCACATTCTATACAAACGCGTGGAGTACAGAGTCCCACAGGCGAGTGTGAAAGGGTGGGGTGTGCTGCTCCTCTCTCATCTGTTTTAATAGTTTGAAAGTGTTTTACTTCACTCAAAGCAATATCAGCTGCAATTTAAATGGGTATGTTTCTGTCAGGTGCAGATTAGATTAGACATGAGTAGACTTTCCTATGTACCTTTTTTATGTAAAACAAATGTACAACATACCACTGAATCAATGAAATAACACCCAGGGCAGAGAAGATGTTTCTTACTCATTTTAGTATTTTGTATTAGCCTGGGGTAAAGCTACTCGCTGGCAGTTTATCCTTTCAACTTGTTGCTCTAATTTCTCTCTGTTTTAGAAATTAGGTCACTGTTTACCTGATTAAGAGTCTAGTCCTGCTGTTTTATCCACGATAGCCCACCCTCCTCTACATACAGCATGAAACTAGCAAAAGGGTATATGTTTATGTAATAGCATTGATAGCATAGATTTGTTCTATATTTTTTGTTTGTTTATTTTACCATTTAGCAGTCGAACTTTACTATCACTCTCTTTTTGAACTGTCTACAGATATGCCTGTTAGCTTTCAGCAGTGGGAGATGCAGCTTGATTTACATGTGATCTCTACAATTTATTACAGTCCTGGGGATTGACTTTGAAGAGTGTTCCTCTGGAGAATAAAATTTGCAGTTATATTTTCGATGTGAGCACCTTTTACATCTACCTAGGGACTTTAATACAGTTTTCTTTCCCTCTTTTTTGAAAATAGAAATGTTTGTTTCCTTAAGACTTCTAAAAGTGGGACACCAAGTTCCTTTACTCTTCAGGAAAACACAATATCTGGACATAGCCTTTCCACCTGCAAAAAAACTTTGCCCGGTAATGTGATTCATTATTATACTACATAACATGTAACAGATCCTATCATTTTCTAACGTAGTAATGAAATAATCTTCAAAGCACCAGAAACTTGTATTAATGTTGTTTGTTGCTTTCTCGTTGTTATCTCTTTTTATGTTTATCCTTGGCACAGAACCCTGCCTCTCCAAAATTTATTCTGGAGTTGACTTTGGAGGGGAAGAACTGAATGTGACCTTCGTGGAAGGAGCAAGTGTTTGCCAAGAGACTTGCACGAAGATAATTCGCTGTCAGTTTTTTACTTACTCTTTACTTCCAGAAGACTGCAAGGGAGAGAAGTAAGGGAGCATTTCTTTGGTGAGATGTTTCATGCTTTTCCCTCTGTGAAGGCAAAACCTTCGTACTGTTCAATTCACCCAGGTGCAAGTGTTCTTTACGATTGTCTCTGGATGGTTCCCCAACCAGGATTACCTACGGGAGGAAAGGGAGCTCTGGTTATTCTTTGAGATTATGTAAAACTGAGGACAGCTCTGGTGAGTAAAGCGCACCGCGTCAGTGTGACATTTTGGTAGCCTGCTTAGTCTTACATGACTGAGCTACGTATTTCATTCTCTTGGTTGAAGGGGACTCCGATTCACTTCGAATTTTGATCATTACTTTTGACATTCTTCTTTCTAGTCTGCACAACAAAAGCAAATGCACGCATCGTGGGAGGAGCAAACTCTTCCTGGGGAGAGTGGCCCTGGCAGGTCAGCTTGCAAGTGAAACTGGCGAGTCGCAGCCACCTGTGTGGGGGGTCCATCATCGCGCCACAGTGGGTCCTGACCGCCGCGCATTGTTTTGACGGGTGCGTTATGGATGGATCTTCTTGCCTGTGCCTTTGGAAGCCTCTGTAATCAGTTTCTTCATTGCCCAGTGCCCTTATTAATAGAGAATTACTCTCTCTTTAAAAAGCTATTTTATTTAGATTTACTTTTTAACTGATACATGAAAACATGTACTTGTACACATTTTTGAGGTCCCACTGGGTGTTTTGGTACCTATACCACCGTTCATAATTTAAATTAGAATAAATCTTTCCATCTTTTTGAACATTTATTCTGAAAGCGTTCAAACCCTTCTAGTTTTTGAAATATGCAATAATTTATCTTCATCTATAGTGACCCGACTATGCAATAGTGTGCAAGAAAGTCTTACTCGTATCTCGCTTGAACTAATTCCCCACTGATCAACCTTTCTCTCTCTCTCTCTGCCCCTTACTGCACCCTGCACTGTCTCATAACCATTGTTCTATTCTCAACCTCTACTAGATGAACTATCTTATATCCCACATAGGAGTGGGATCGTGTACTATTCTTTCTCTGCCTGGTTTATTTTACTTAACATGATCTCCACTTCCATCCATGTTGTCACAGATGCTAAGATTTCACCTTTTCTGGATATTGCACAACGTTTTGTTGTGAGTGTGCACCACAGTAGCTTTATCCATTCCGCAGGTAGGGGCTCCTCTTGAGTCGTCTCCATTTCTTGGCCACTGTGAGTTGTGCTGCAGTAAACACGGGTGTGCAGATGCCTCTTCAAACACTGACTTCATTTCTTTTGAATAAATATCCAGTAATGGGATTCGTGGATCCCACCAACAGCGTGTAAGAATCCCTTTCCTCCACATCTTTGCCTGCAGTTGTTATCTTTTGTCTTTTTGATAAGAGCCTTTCTGACTGGAATGAGGCAATATTTTATGGATTTGATTTGTATTTCCCAGATGATTAATGATGTTGAAGACATTTCACACTTGATTTTAGGCAAAAAGCTGAGAAACGATCAAAGGCATTTTAAAAAAAGGGTGATATTCCAAATACTTAACAACTCAGAGGGTCCTGGCCAATCTGACCCATTAGGTCATGTATACCACACCATGATATCCTCTAACCTTTTCTTCTTCCTCCTCCTCCTCCACTTCTCCTTTTCCTTCTCCTTTTTCTTTGTCCTCCTCCTCTTTCTCCTCTTTCTCCTCCTCCTTTTTCTCCTCCTGCTCCTCCTCCTCCTGCTTCTCCACCTCCTGCTCCTCATCCTCCTCCTCCTTCTCTTCCTCCTCTTCCTCCTCCTTCTTCTCCTTGTCCTCCTTCTTCTCCTTCTTCCCTTGCCCTTTCCTCTTCTTTCTCTTCCTTCTCCTCCTACTCCTTCTCCTCTTCTTCTTTTGAAAAAAAAGTGAAAAGAAAAAGGAACACTATCAAAGTTGCTCCTTTCCAATTTCATAATACTTATTTTTCTTTCCTAGGATTCCCTTCTCAGATGTTTGGCGCATTTATGGAGGCATTTTAAATCTGTCAGAGATTACAAAAGAAACTCCTTTCTCACAAATAAAAGAACTTATTATCCACGAGAAATACAAAGCCTCAGAAACTGGTCATGACATTGCCTTAATAAAACTTCAGGTGCCATTGAATTATACTGGTATGCAGCATATTTAAGGGAAAATCGAATGGCTGATTTGTATTGGTTTAAATTTTCACATCAGTTTGAGTAATCTACAGATTGTCTTTATCGTCTGGTTTGATGCAATCAGGGTAAGGTGAGGGTTGCCAGGGATATCAAGTTACTAAGACTCAACCTAAAATATTTTCCATTAGAAGGCAAGAAATGTTAATTAGTACTTTCAGGGAGGAATGCAATTGCACATATACGTTTGAAATAGTAGACACAGGAAATGTGTTTGCCATCTGGGGCCACTGGACTTCCTTTGGCAAGAGCAGCACAAGGCTTGTGCTTAGGAATCTTTAGACCATAGGAGGATAAGCAGGACCTGATGTTCATTTCCGGGAATAACTGTGGTAGAGAGGACACTGATGCAGAAGGAAGCTCCGGGAAGCCTGGAGCATCAAGGCTACCTTATAGGTACAGTGTCAACAGAAGCTGAATGTCCATCAAGACCATTATTTGTTACTGATCATTAGCAATTTTGTGACCTTGAGCAACTTGCTTTTTCTCCTTGCACTGCTAATTTCCTCATTCATAAAATGAGAATGATAATTTCCTTGTGAGAGGTAGTAAGTATATGTATCAAATAAGACACAACAACTTCTAAATGCTTTAGGCAGTAAATTTGGGTTCTGAGTTTTAAAAAAAATTTTGTTACCAAAAATTGCATGTAAAAATGAATGATGGATAGAAATTTTCTTGAGACATTTACCTTGAAGTTCAGCAGGAAGCAGAACAGTCATTCTTGGCTCTGTGCTGTGGAAAGAGTATGGGAAAATATAAAGATGTATATTTAAAGCCAATATGTATGAAAGTTTACCCAAAATCTAATTTTAAATTGACTTTTCAGAATTCCAAAAACCAGTATGCCTGCCCTCCAAAGATGAAATGAGTACAATTTATACCAACTGCTGGGTAACTGGATGGGGCTACGATAAGGAGAAAGGTACAGCCTGACATTTTAACTGTTCTTTCTGAAGCCAGCCTTCTGTATTAGATGAAATATATGGAGTAGATCAGTTTAATCCACTTCTATCTGAAATTGTTCTCATCATCGTTTCAATCTATTTATCTTTAAATGTTTGTTCAGTGGTTTTATTTATTGTTACTTGGCCTTGAAAAAATTCATAAGGTAACTTTTGAAGCATCTTATTTCATAATAAAGATTAATTACTTGACATCACATAAAGGATGGGGATCCCCCTAAGACCATGAGCCCAATGAAGCCCATAAATTAATAGTGTCCCTGTCTCTGCATGGCATGTTCTCCCTTAATATTAATGGGTAATAGTAAAGGTCAGCATATGATCATCTCTTTAGAGCCAAGTCAGAATACACTTTTATGTACCCTTCTTGCAATCTAGTAAAGCCAATGAATGATTTCTCTAACCTTGCTTTTCAAGGCTTAAATAAAACCCCTAAGGTTACAAAGAAAACTAATTTAAATTGTAATACAGTTATCAAAATATATTAAAATGATATGATATAGTGGTATATGTGCTTATTTATTGATGTGTTAAATAGAAAGTTTTTAAAATATCTGCAATATTTTTGAAATGATGAGGATAAATGACATTTTCAGTTATCTGAATAACTATAGTATGATGTAAAAATATCTGTGATCTTATGCTGTTAATAGTACCCTGATTGTAGACTACATTTATAATTGAAGAAAGTGTTAGACTTCAGTTGGAGTTTAGGGAAAATAGAGATGTAGTTTTTTCTATTTGAGTTTATGGACCATTTGTTTTCTTGTGGACAGTAGGTTAAGAATCTTAACTCATTATTTCAATTTCCCTTAAAGTTTTCCTGGGTAGACCACTCTTCTTTCCAAGATTAAGCTCCTGATAATAGGAAATAATATTTGCACTGTTCATTACAAAAAGTAATAGCTGACCTAACTTTCCCCCATTTTTCCTGAATCAACTCTATATTTAACAAATTCAAATTTTTCACATTTTGACTAGTACAAAATGTGACACAGGCAAAACACACAGGGAAAAAAGTGAAAAATAACCTTATCTAAACAAAGGAAATTGCTAACATATGGCCAAGGGAAACCTGGACATTGGTGGAAAATATCTACAAATAAGTTGTTCTTTATGAAAACTGTGTTTACTGAAAGAATAAAATGATCCTCTGTTGTCAAATATTTGGGATTTATTTTCAAAAATTATATATTTGTACACTATAATTTTTAGTATATAAAAACAGTAAAGATAAGAATGTTCAAGCTTTTGTACTGTAGACAATAAATGTAAAAAGGAATTTCTGGGGGATTTCTTTTGAGATAGAAGAAGGCAAAGAGTATGGAAGTCTCTGGTCAACCTGAGTTATGGAGTTGTATAGTGCATGAAATAGAATGAAAGCTCTCTAAGCCCAGCTACTAGGAGAAGAGAAGTATGAGGCATGAAGATCCCAAGTTCAAGGCCAGCCTGAGCAACTTAGCGTGGTCCTATCTCAAAATAAAATATTAAAAGAACTGAGACTAGGGGAGGGTTGGCTGTAACTCAGTGGTAAAACTCTTGCTTGACATCCAGAAGGCTCTGGATTCAATCCCTAGGACTGGAAAGAGAGAGAGAGAGAAAGAGAGAGAGAGGGAGACAGAGAGAGAGAGAGAGAGAGAGAGAGAGAGAGAGAGAGAGAGAGAGAGAGAGAGGAGGAGGAAAAGGAAGAGGAGAAGAACAAGGAGGAGGAGAAGGAGAAGAAGCAGGAGGAGGAGGAGCAGGAGAGCAGAAGAGAGAAAGAGAGTGAGAGATATCTGATATCTCTCTTTCTCTGGCTCAGTGACTATCTTTTTGATACTTACTGCCTGTTTTTACTAAAAAAATGTGGCTCTAATGTCAAGACCATCCTGATTTACTTTGAAGACTTCAGACTGATTTTCATATTTAATTTATTTCCTCTCTCTAAAGTTATACATTGGTTACTTCATAGGTGAAATCCAAAATATTCTACAAAAGGCAAATATTCCTTTGGTAACAAATGAAGAATGCCAGAAAAGATATAAAGATTATGTCATAACCAAACAGATGATCTGTGCTGGCTACAAAGAAGGGGGTAAAGACGCTTGTAAGGTAACGCATTAGAGTATGCTAAAATACACAATAGTTCATTAGCAATAATTCATTTCAGAACATTTTTTCCAGTAGGATATTTCACTAACGTATTTTTAAAATTCAGAGACAAATAAATATATAAAATGTACATCATGGAGTACTTATGAATTCTTATGGCACAATCTCTACATGTACTATACTTTGAAGAATAATTGAATATACAATGATTATCTCTAAAACATAAGCATGTTAAATTTTTAAAATTTGGGGTAAAGATGTCAAATTTACTAGATTGCTCTGAAAATAGAAGAAGAAATAAACTGAAAAAGCAATCACACATTCATTTTCACCACACATCCAGCAATAATAAGGTACCTGAAAACAGTTAAGAAGCTGTGGTGTGTGTGTGTGTGTGTGTGTGTGTGTGTGTGTGTGTACTGTCTGAGGTGTAACTGCAGAATTTTAAAAGCAAAGATTTCTCTGAGTCACCTCTGTTATAACTTTGTATCATTTCAATTTTCTACTCACTGTGACACAGGGAGACTCTGGTGGCCCCTTAGTCTGTAAACACAACGGAATATGGCGTTTGGTGGGCATCACTAGCTGGGGCGAAGGTTGTGCCCGAAAGGAACAGCCAGGTGTCTATACGAAAGTTGCTGGATACATGGACTGGATTTTAGAGAAGACACAGAAGAGTGATGGGAATGGTCTGATGGTAGTGCCAGCGTGAAGTGGCGATATAGTGGGGAAAAGCCCAGACTGTAGCACTAGTTTACAGTCTGGGTTGCAGTCAAATAGTGAGCCTTGGACTTCTTGCCTGTGAAATCTGGAGAACGGATCTACCTCGAGCCCTTGTCATAAGGATTTTAAAAGATGGTCCACAACTGCTGAGGACAATGCCCTGCCAAAGCATGCTGTTAACATTCAGTAACCAGGAGCTCATAATGAGAAATAGCTGAAGAGCTTTGGGATTGTGTGATGTAAAATAAAACAGAAGAAGAACATGATTAGAAGTATTTCCCTCTGGTTATGAAACAGAACTGAAAACAAGTGACTCTGGATTCTAGCACAGTGTTCCCTGGAACATAACCCTGCCTGCTATGCTTGGGGTGAGAAGTAAGGAAGCTTGGGCTTTGCTCTGCCCAGTGAAAGAAAGAAATCTAATATTCTCCTTAACAATAAAAAGATGGATTACCCGAACTTGGGAGAATAGGACACCTTTTCATTTGAGGCACTTACATTTGTTCCTGAGCATTGAAACAAGGGTCCAGGCTGGGTGTGCAGCAGACCCTGGTAGGGTTGCACTTTTCTGGTTGAAGCTCCTGCAGTAGTTTCACTGCAGAGCCTTCAGGCAGGGCAAGAAATCTGCTTTGCAAAGAACATTAACCTAAGAGGCTCAGTAGATACTGAGTTGTGCAATGGTAATCCAAAATCATTGTTAGGTATATAGTACTGCGTACATTCAGTCTTGTAAACGCGTGTAAGTAGTAGTTGTTATCCTTGGAATGGAAGATCTGAACTGTATACAACACAAATTCCAAACTTGCCAGTGATTACCACAGTTGACCACAGGTAGTTTGATTCAGTTCAGTTAAGCTGATTAACATGTACATAAGATCTGCCAATTACAAAATATTGTGTAAGTTAAGTAGAAAAACAAAAAGTAAAGTTTTCTAAAAGATTAAATTTTCTTTGCATATGCCATGATACTTTGAGTGGTAGAAAGGAATAAAGATGGAGGAGGCTAATGGAAAACCAGGAGGTCCTGGTTACCCATAGCCCATGCCACTGGAAACTGAAGAGGTAAGAATTATTCCAGAAGCAATGGCTTTTCTAAAACCTGGCTAGATTACATGAACTGTTTTTCTAAAAGCACATAATTTCAATGTTTATGTTTGTATTTAATAAAGATATTAGTCTTGTTATGTGTAGAAGCTGTTTTATATTTTAAAAGAAAAAATGCTGTGGAATGAAAAGCATTTATCTTGGGAGTTTAGTACTGATAACTCTAGCAGGTATTACACAGGACTTTGGAGTACTTACAGGATAACACTCTGGCTTTTTTTGTTCAGCAAGTGTCCTCATTTAGGCAAAACAAGAGAGTTTTGAAATGTGGTACTTTCCTGTGGCGTAAACTATCATTTTAAAGTTGTTAATTGGAACGCAGTGGTTCTGGAATTTTTGTTTGTTTAATTGTTTGCTTTCCACCATCTTGCACAGTATGACAGAAGAACCCTTCACACAGCCAGAGCTCCAAGGCACTAAGAAGTGTGTAAGCAACTAAGAAAGCATGAGGTAGAAGAGACTTCACCTTTACAAGTAAGAGTGAAGGTGGCAGGCATGGACCTATTGCAGGACCATCCCAGAAAAGGTGGCCCTGGTCCCAGTCCTAGAAATAAGACAGTTAGAGACCGCCATAGGGATGTGGGGCAGGTTCACTGTGGGCCTTAACTCAGGATCTGTTACCACTAACGTATGACATATAACTCTCCCTCGTTCTCTCACTTGCTCAAACAATCTTATCAAACTCAAAAGCAGGTGCATGTCTAAAGCCAGGATACCTCTGTCATGACATCTCCAGGTCTACACTAGACGAGAAAATAAAACGATTAAGGATGGTCTCAGAGGCACAGAGGACAAACACATCCCCTGGCCCTTAACCTATTACTCATTAAAAGCATATTTGTATTTTCTTCTGAGGGAGTCCGAGACTTAACAGCTGCTTTTACTAAAAACAACAACAACAAAACTTTTCACTTGGGCCTGCAGATGCCCATGGGGTAACTAAATGCTACATAAAGCTTGACAACTCTGTCTCATTTTCTATCTCCTTTATCACCTTAAAACTTTGAGTCAGATTTCTTGCTCGACGCTGCATATAGGCATGTCAACCACTTAAAGAGTGTCAGTCTAAAACTAGTAATATAAGGTTTAGTAGCTCTAAATTTCCCAAACCAGCAGCATACTTTCTCAAGACTGAAGACACCAAGATGGGCGGGGGGTACAGTTCGGCGGCACAGTGCCCGTCTGAGCATGGGATCCTGAGTTTGAGTCCCGGTTCCAAAAATAACAACAACAACAACTGTCTGAAGACACCAAGATAAGAGATTTTCAGGGACATTCGACCACCAGCTTTTCCATGTCCTTCTCAAGACCCTCTAGAATGGACATCTAAAAGTCTCTAGTCATAGTCCTAAACCTGCAGTTACTTTGGATGCCAGCAGAGCCTCTGCAGAACTGAGGATACCCTCATCCCCAAAGCAGCAGCAAATCATCCCAGGGGAACCTGATTGCCTCTGAAGCTGTAACAACTTCTCCAGCCTACAAAATCAGAATTGAGACAATAACAGACCTCAGCACACCTAAACAAGTTCATAAAAGCTGGTTCCTTTCGTTTGTTTGCAGGCTAGTCTGATTTTCCTGGTTAGACCTGTGCCCTCTCAGCTTTTCTTCCAAAAATTAGGTTATTTCCTATTTTCTCTTCATTTTTTTTTCAATAAAAGATTTACATTTAAATTAATGTTGCTACCCAGCCTTCATTTCCAGTATCACTGAAGCAAGGCCCCACATTAGCCTGTAACAGGAACTAGCATGGCTCTTGCCCTGAGCCAACAGGGTGAGTGTAGGATACACAACATACATACACACCATCTCATAGGGAGTTAGTCAGGAGCTCCAGCATTTGTCTCTAATTTATACACAAAACCTTTTCTTTTTATTATTGTTTTGTCTATCTATTCCACTGAAATATGGGCAACATCAAAGGTGGTCTGTCATTCGTACTGCGTATAAATTGGTATTCATTAGATATCTCATGAATAAATACATTTTTCTCATAAACATACAGCAATGCAGGTTTGAGGAGATAAAAAGATTAGCTCAAGGTCACTAATAAGGACAGAGCCAGAACTAAGCTTCGCATTCATATCCCTGATAGTGTCTTCCAGATCAATCTCCTATTGTCTCATACAACAAGAGGGATAAAAGATGACAGAAGCATTTGCAACCATCATTGTTATTTTTATTTTCTATCACCCAAAAATAGTTTGATTCTGCTCCTCTTCCCCAGGACATTTGTTAATGTCTACAGATGTTCTGATTGTCTTAATGAGGGAGGCGGTGCCACCAGATGTAGTGGTAGGGGTCAGGGCTACTACTAAACACCCTATGGCACACAGAACAGCCCCTCATGGCAGAGAATTATTCCACGACAGTACAGCAGTGCTAGGATTGAGAAAACCCTCAGTTTGAAGTTCAGCATTAAAGTTAATTTTAAAAAAAATTCAAGAACACCACTAAGGCAGGGTTGCAAACCACGGCAGGATGAGCCCTTTTTCAGAGTGAATTCTGATGAAAAAGAAAAATTCCAAGAGCAAATCATCTCCATGAGACCTTTATAGTCGTCCTTGCCCCAGACAGAGTTTATGTCACAATACGCCCAACACATTGCATACCTATGGTCCTAATTTCTGACTTACATGTGGTTCTTTTTGATGGAATTTTAGATTCTTCCTGAAATTTTGTCTAATAATGCCCAGATTTGATGTGGCTTAAAAATATTTGTATCACTGGAAAAAAAACTGTACTTTTGATAAAATAAATCAATATCAGAATTTTAAACAGCAGTGATGGGGCTGGGGATTTAGCTCAGTGGCAAAAGCGCCTGCCTGGCAAGCGTAAGGTCGTGAGTTCGGTTCCCGGTACCGGAGAAAAACCAAACCCCCCCCCCCAAAAAAAAAAAATGGCAGTGAATTAGTTGAAATTTTTAGATGAATTACTGTCACTTTGAAAGTTTTATTTTAAAGATTTCTATGCATTTAATATTCCTATTGCACTTTGAATAGACAAAAATATTTCAGGATTCTTATACTATTTCAAAGGCCTTACAAGATTTTTCTGACTAGTTAAATCAAATTTAGGAAATACTATCTTGTTTTGCAGTGAAGCATTTCTCTAATTTAAAGTCTTTCTATCTCTCTCAGTAGAGCTGGAGGTTGTAATTATCTTCTTTTCACTGAGACCACAGGAGAGAGCTGGGATTTCAGGGAGTAAACCACACAGAGAAGAAAGGACCTTACATAACCTTACAGATTAGTTTTCCATGAAAATCTTTCTTGGCATGAATTTGTCATTCTGTATTTAGGCCTCATAAAAGATCAGGTAGCATACGTAGGTGCTTTTTCTGTGACTGGCATGTATTTAATTTTAAATGGGAAACTCAAGACAGTAACTAAGGACTTTTTCTGCCAAGATGAGTAACAATACATTGGTAATGGATCAAATAAAAGCAGCTGAGTAGCAGCCTTCTGATAGAACAAAAGAACAAACAAGCAGCACTTCATGTCAAGCCTCCTCTGCTCAGCACCTCACATCTTTGTCTTCCTGCCCTGTGGAACAAAAGGCTGGCTCTTGCTTCTTTTGAAAACTGCTCCCATCAGTTTATAGCGGACTAAGTATCCCATTTAGCTTTACTTTGCTAACTATGCTCTCATTGTCTCCATGATATGTTCTCTTTTTTTGCCTCTGTATTTTTCTTTCAGTACAAGATGTTGACAGGTCTCTCCAATGTTCCTCATCTCCAGTCATTTTGTCACTTAGCCTTTGAGCCTAATTGCATAGGATACCCTACAGCTTCAGAACTATTCACCATGTCCACAACAACATTGCTATGATATAGAGGAAATGAGACTGTCTCTCCATGTCTCCAAACAGTGAAATACTCAGTCAACTGGTGACATTTTCCTGGGTCCAGAAGATCACACTCACATTAGCACGTTGTTCCCAAACAAAGTAAAACGTTCTTTTGGTACGGACAACTTCAGCAAGGTCTATTAAGTGGACACACTTGTACTTTCTGCTCTGAGTTTCAGAATATTTTTCAAAAATATTCCATTTGTAGATTCTAGTTCTTAGCTTTTCTATGGAAAATTGGGAGCCTTCTCTGAATCATAAAACTATCTTACTTTAAAATTTATTTAAATCAGACATATGAAAACTTTTTTTGTTTTGGTTACCAGGGAACCATACAGAAATCCTTAGGGCTGATTAGTGTCTAATATTATAAACAAGCCCAGAGAGATAAAGGAACACGGCCAATGTTCACACATAGCTGGTTTACACTGGTATTAACCGGTTTGTGCTCAAGGGACAGGAGAAGAAAACTAATGAGTAGGTCTGGGTAATAGAGAACATGGGTTGTCCAACTATTAAACACAGTGAAACTGGGGAAAATATTTCACCAGCACACCCATCTACAAACTGCACAAGGCTTACTCTTCCAAGGCTTCCACAGTACAGGCCCCCTTATCTTTCAGGGAACCAAGTAGTCATTTTATTATTATCTGGCTTGCAGCAGCTAGATTTGTTACTTCTTAGATCTTTGTTTGTGTCTTAATGCCCTGAAACCTAAAACCATTATGAGGAGGGCTGGAGATATAGCTCAGTGGTAGAGCCCTTACCTGACATATACAAGGTCTTGGTTCCACCCTAGAACTGCCCAAACATGAACTGAAATAAATAAAAACCAGACAAACAAATCTATGCAAGCCTTATAATTTTTAGAAAAAAATATTAGAATATAATTTTCACAAATCGGGTAATGAAATGGACGCCTCCTTAGAACTAACTGTATCTGTACAAGCTTCTGAGAATGTAATTCTGTATAAAGGAGAGCTGAATCTATAAGAGTGGCAGACTGATAATGCATACTTTTCTTTCTGTCCAGCTGCCAGGGGCCAGCAACTGAAGTCTCTTCCTTTCACTATACTGCGAATCAGTAAGTTCAGCAGACTTTCCTTTTTTTCTGTAGACTTTGGCATTGAAGTCAGGCTAGAATTAATGGTTAACAATTGGTGTTTGAAAGCGTGATTGCATGAAGCTTTGGCGAGCAGGCATACAAAATGTAAGTTTGCCCGAATGCCAGCACATAGAGGCAAATCCAAATTCTCTAGCTGTCTCTCTGTGTGTCACTTGTACAAATATACAATTAAGAGAAAATAAATTTAATGTACGGAAAAAGCACACAACACTCCTAAGGCACTAATATGCAGAGATTTTGAGGACTTTTTCTCATATGCAGTACAACGAGACAGTGTTCCATAACACTGGAAATCGATAAAAGTAAATATTAAAGTTAAGTGAATGTTACCTACACAAGCTTTCTTTTTTTTGGTAGTGGGAATCGAACTCACAACCTCATGTTGGCCAGGCAGGCGCTGTGCTGCTGAGCTCCATTCCCAGCCTGACAAACTTCTTTAGAAAAGAATGAAGACCATCCTGTAAGAAGACAAACTTGCTTACTGAGAATTGCAGCAAATAAGCAAGGTATTTTCAGGTATGTTTTCAAAACTTACTTCGCATTTCTCTCAAGCACTTATGCCTTGAAATTTTTTTTATCTATGATGAGACTTTAAAACTCTTTTGCAGTACAGAATGGCTGCTATTTAAAGTGTGTCTGGTGTACTATTTTAAAGACTTTTAGGTAATACCTATATTTGAAAGAGGAAACAGAATGAAAGCAGAGTAGTACTTCGTACTAAATTATAAGCATTTTGTAAATTACAAAATATTCCAGAACTACAGTGTAAGATCAGGACTGTTTTCTTCTTGTGGCTGAATCAGGATGTTCTGTTTCATTTTTGTATGAGAATCTACTCAGTGCTTAGTGAGGATAAATACATTTATAACTGACCAAGATGATCTGTTAATATATTTACAACAGAGTTTTAAAAACTAAAAAATTAGTAGGAAATCATTCTGAGCTCTTTGATACGCAGAAAGACCACAAATATAGAAGGAAGTGAACTAGAGGAGAACATGAAGATGGAACACTGAGGCGGGAGAGGGGCCAGGTGATGGTGGCCAAACATCTGATTAACAGGGCCCTGGAGGCAGAGAGAGGGAAGGAGGAAAGAAGGGAGGGGACTTGGCCCTGTCTGTTCGGCTTCTGCGGAAGGGTGACAGTGCTGCTTACCATACACAGCAACCCGAGGAACCCGCTAGGACTCTGAAGATAAAAAGCAGCACTGTAACAGTAACCTGTGAACACCATCAAATTACCTCCTTTTCCTCCCTGCTCCTCCCTACTCCTTGTAAATTCTCATGTCAGTGATCTAATTGTCAGTTTGCATTTTATGTTCTAAAAGCGTGCACATTTTTCTCTTTGTAGGATGTCCTTACTATGTCTAATGGTGTGTTTCATTTTGTGTGCCTCAGCTTCTGGCGGTGAGTAAAACCCTTGGTGCAGACCAGAAATAGCTTAGTTTTGTGATCTGTAGAGTGGAAAACAAGAGAACAGAAGTCTACACAGGGAACTCACATGATTGTCCGGTGCAATAGAAGAATCCAGTGCCATCTATGCCAGAGGAGAAATAAAATTTTATTTATTTTCCACTTAAGCATCTAGGTATTTTAAAAGGAAGGAAACTGATATTTATTACATTTAATTTCTGATACAGGTGTTAGTATTTTAAGCATAATAAACTTTTCATTGGCATATGTGAAAATATCAAATCTAGGTAGATATTTAAATTTAATAAATCCCATATAATGTATTAAATGATATCATTTCTAATTTCACTTTGTTTGTGGCACAATTGTTTTCCAAGTTATTATAGTCCATTGTCATTATTGTTATTTTGTTGATAAACAAGTTAATACTGACTCAATTAAAGTATTTTGAACATTGGCTTTAACAACTGCCTCCCCCCTCCTCTCAGTATATATATAGACAGATAGACAGATAGATAGACAGATATTCTTTAGACATATATATGAAGAATTAATAAAAATTGACCACATACAAGAACCTAAAAGAATTCTCAAAGATAAAAATTTATGATAAAAGTGCAACTCAAAAAAGTAAAAAGACTCTAGGAAATTAAATGCAAAGAAATTAGAAGGCAGAAAAAAACTAAAAAAAATAGCAGGAATAAACTGAATAGAAAACAATATACAAAGTGAGCTCAAGACCAGCCTGAACTGCATAGTGAGACCCTGTCTCAAAAAGACCAAAAAAAAAAAAAAAAGAAAGAAAGAAAGAAAGAAAGAAAGAAAGAAAGAAAGAAAGAAAATAATATAGACCAGAGATATACATGATCATGCTCCCAATATACTTTATAATGGGACATCACAATCCGACAAGAACTTTTTGAAAAAGAAAAAAGCTCTCACGGCTTTTTTTCTTATAAGTATATATGCACAAAACAGAAATGAAATACTAACAAACATAATCCAGCTGTATGTTGAAGAAAAACAAAAGGATGATTACATTGTAACAGCATAACAAAGTTAGGCTAGTTCCAGGGATGAAGTGACTTTAACATTCAAAGTGAATAGATGCACTGCTTTTGGTGTACACCCAAAGGAAGTAAAAGCAGAGACTCAAACAGATCTCTGAATTCCTGGCTTCATCACCATAGTATAAATAGAAGACATATAGAGACTTTTGGGGACACCTATTCAAAGCATAGCACAACCCAAGTATTGATCAATAGATTAGCAGACAAACAAAATGCAGTACACAAATACAATGGAATGATATTCAACCTTTAAAAAGGAAGAAATTCTGACATAAGATACAAGATGGATGAACCTAGTGGACATCATGCTACTGAAATAAGGCAGTCACAAAAAGACAAATACTATCTGATTCCATTTAAATAACATACTTGGAGAAGCCAACTTCAGAGAAATAAAAAGTAGGATAGAAGCTTCCAGTAGTGGGTGGACTGGAAGAATGAGGTATTAGTTTAATGGGTACAAAGTTTCAGTGGAAGAGGTTGTAAAAGTTCTAGTTAGGAACGGTGGTGATGGTTACACAGCAATGTAAGTGTACAGCTCGCTGCAAACGGTGCACTTCAAAAAGGCTATAATGTAAAAGTTTTTAGTCTTTATTTTTGTTAGCACATGTTTGCAGTACATGATGATTGAATATGTACTTCATCAGCAAACAGGTAACTGAATATAAACATTAAAATTCAAATCAAAAGGCTTTGGAAAACTTAATATTGGTTAATACAATAATGGTTAATTACTGAAACCTTTTCTAAGGGATTGAAAATAAAGCAAGATTCCCCCTTGTTTCTTCTGTTAAACCTTGTGCTGGAAGTCGCAGTCAGCATAGTAAAGAAAGGAAAAGAAATAAAAGCTAAAGGATTAGAAAGGAATTAACTCTGATTGTCTACATATAATATGGTGATGTACCTAGAAACATCCAAAATAACCAACACAAATTATTTTAGTCAAATTAGCAAGAAATCTAAACATAAATTCAACAGGCAAGAAGCAAAAATAAGTCAATTTTACTATCACTAGAAGCTATGTTTGGATTTTGAAAATATATCTGCCTTTGATATTAAATGATTCAGTAAGGAGGAGATGTATTCTAAGAAAATTACCATATTCATTAGTTATCAAAAAATCTACTTTGTTGCTAAGCAGTTAACATTCTTCTCCTAAGAAGCACTATTTTGATGTAGTGCAATTTTTTGACCCAAAAGCTTGGTACATGGGGTTTCTATGGTCAATGTGGAGACTTCCAGACGAGAACAGGCCACAGTGGGTAGCTGCCATGCAGATTAATTGGAATTAACACAGAACTTGAGGAAAGCGGACACATCTCTGGTCACTCTTGGAATACTTGCCAGATCTGAGAAAATCACGTTATATACAGAGGTCACATGCGGGTAATTTTGAAGGCACATTAATGAGTTTTTGAAGCTGGTCTGTGGGAGGGACTTTGGCCCTCTTTAGATATCTCTGGAGAAACAGAAGACATTTTAAATTTTTGTTGTAACTTAGCTTTTTAAAAGTAAAAGCCTACTTAGCCAAAGGGGATTTAATACTTTTTCAGAGGCTCTATATTCCTGTAAGTTAGTCCACTTGAAATGGTGAGATGCCATACATGGTGCGTTACCACGCTGACACTGAGGCCATCAGACAAGACTGGACAGTGACCACTGGAGCGATTGCTTTGTGGTCACAGAGCATGAACACAGAGAAGCGCTGCATTGTTGGAGGCAACTCTAGACGTAGATGGGATTCCAAAGGGCGCCTTTTTGCTGGTAAAGAGCTGAGAAATTATTTAATTACCCACACGCATCCATGTTTCCAAGACTATTGTTCATAAGGGTGATGCCATTCAAACCAAAAAAGTTATTCCACGATTTTTTTTCCATCCAAGGCTGTTTACTTAAACCACCACAAAATTTTTGATTTGACTTTTAAAAAACCTGAACTTTGTATTCCAAAAAAATTATTTTATATCAGTACCTATTGTATTGCTTGATAATTAAATTTCTCATGGGGAGTTGGTACATGTATATAACACATCTTAATTTTTTAGTTATCTCCTTCCTTTCCTCTACTTCCCCATCCCCCCACCTCTTGGTCCCCTTTCCTTTTATAAAAGATATATCTTCCTATTTCCTATGATCTGTCTTTTATTTTGTTCTTTATTTATATTTTGGGATTTTCATATGAGAGAAACCTTATGCCTTTTAAGTTCGTATGCCTAATTTATTTCACTTAAAATTATGGTCTCAAGGTGCATCCATTTTCCTACGGAGGACTGAAATTTATTCCTTTTATGGCAGTGTAGTACCACACTTTCTTTACTCATTCATCTGCTGCTGGATGTTTAGGCTGCTTTCAAGATTTAGCTATTATGAACTATTCTACCGTAAACATGGCTATGATGTTTCGCTGTGGTATGATTTCTTTAGCACTTTCAGGAAGTTGTCTAGAAGAAGAATAGCAAGGTCAAATGGATATTCTATTTTTGAGGAATCTCCACACTGATTTCCATAGTGGTTGTACCAGCTTACATACCCATTAACAATGTAGAAGGATTCCTTTTCCCTGCAGCTTATGTCCAACTTCAGGCATATTTTCTGTTAAGGAAAGCTATTTGTCTGTTAGGTTGTTATCTATGTGTCCCCCCACCCAACTTTGAAATAATATTTGTTGTGCATCTTATCACAGAATGTGTGACTAAACTATTCAAAGACACCAGCTTTGAAGGAGGAGACATTGATACAGTTTTCACCCCAAGTGCCAAATACTGCCAGGTGGTCTGTACCTACCACCCAAGGTGTTTGCTCTTCACTTTTATGGCTGAATCATCATCTGCAGATCCTAGCAAATGGTAAATGTTTGTGTTTCTACATAAAGGAACTACACTTCACAGGCCAGCTAATGTCTTTCTGTCATTATATAAAATACAACGTTAACAACTGAAAAGTAAGTTGTCTTTTAGTTGAAATATTAGATATTACCCAAAAGATGGTGTTTAAGCAGATTAGGGAGGAATTTGGTGCCTCCCAGGGTTACTTTCCCAGATTCTTTTGAGGTTTTAATATTAAGGGTATATTCTCTCCCCCTCCTCTATTTTTGTGTATCTTCATCAGTTTGCTCTTTATTTTTCTATTGATTATTGATGCATCATATTATTTAACTGAGAATTATCTCCCAACTATCTTTAAAATACACACAGATAATGTGAAAAATTTATACAATGATATGTCACCTGAAGACCCTGTCAGTTTTGCTTTACCAACCTTACAGATGTAGCACATACGATAAGTGCAAACATTTGAAATAATATTAAAACATCATGACATTCACCGCTAAGTATTTGAACATGCATTATCCCACACAAAGGTATAAGAAATTTAACAAGACTTCTTTTATACCATTTGCAGTTGTCTCCCAAATGTAATTTAAAGCTATTAACTAGAATCCTTTAAAAATCCAAAATTGTGGTTGTTTTACCTCTAGTCATGTTTCTAAAATTTTACATCTTGTTTTTTTATATAGACATATACACAGTATAACTAAGATAATTGTGCTACTAATTTCTATGGGTTTATTGAAAGCACAGTTAATACTTGTTTGATCAATTTTGCACGTCTATCTCTGATAATCTAAACAACTACTTTGAAGGCTACAGTATGCAATATAACAACCATTGCTAATTTCCTATCATTTTGTTTTGAAATTCTGTATCATTTTTATTTGTTTTTTTCCTTATTTCTTATTCTCCTTAAAAATAAAAAAATGAAATTTTACATCTTTTGACTGACACTTTTGTTTCAATGTTGAACTTGAAAATTCAATAATTTAGCCTTTCTGCAAAAATAAAGCTGTCAGCATCTTCATGTATTATTGCTGCATTCGCAGATATCTACATAATACCATGAACATGTTAAAGTTATGCTAGAATTTATAACAGGAATCAACAAGCATTTATTAACAAGGCAGAAAATATTTGAGTTTGTTGGTAAGAGGCAAGATTAAAGACATTGTGTAAGTACTTTTATCATCATTTGATAAAATGTAGTTACTTAAAAACATAAAAACCATTCTTAGAGCCAGGTGTGGTGGCACATGCCTGTAATCCCAGCACTTGGGAGACTGAGGCAGGAGGATCCTTGTGAGCTCGAGACCAGCCTGAGCTACAGAGTGAACTCAAGGCCAGCCTGAACTGTATAGTGAGACTCTGTCTCAAAAAGACCAAAAACAACCAAAAAATCCTTAGATAGTGGGCTACACAGAATAAGACTCATTTTTGGCTGTTTTTTAGCCTCAGGTTATAGTTCAGCCACTGCTATGTGTTTCCTATTAAGAAGTACCACCACATGTCATCTTTTCAATGTAAGATGTTGAAATGAAAAACAAAGTCACAACCTTGCTAAGAAAATATTTGTTTCAGCTAAATATTTGTTTTGGCATAAATTAGAGAATTTGTTTCATTCTGTTTGCTTTCTTGTGTGCTAATTTTAAGACTCATTATTTTAGAACATAAATTCCCACCAACTAATTTTTTCTCAAAAAAAATCCCCCCAAAAATCCAGGTTTACTTGCATCCTGAAAGACAGCGTCACGGAAACATTGCCAAAGGTGAATATGACAGGAGCAATTTCTGGATATTCTTTCAAGCAGTGCCCACACCAATTAAGTGGTAAGATGTCTTTGGTGGGCTAATAAATGCTATTATGATGTACGTGTATAGCTGTATCAGATATAGCTATAAAACTAAGCACTGCTATAAGGAAATAAACTTCCTTATTGAAGTTCTTTTGGGGTAGGGTAAAAGATCACACTTAGATGCTTGCCTCTCTCTCACTCCAGTGCATTAAAATGTCTTTCTTCACTTTACAAAAGGAAATATCCTACCACCTCAGTTCTCATCATTGATTTTCTTCTTCTCTGCCTAAAATTTTACATGAAAGTGTATTAAACATCTTAATACAAATCAAAGAGAGCAAGTACGAAGACTGACGTGGCACTCCTCTCAGGAGTGAAGTAGACACTTGAGCAGGTTAATTAGTGAACCAACCAGTCAATGGAGTGCTGGAGCCAGGAGAGGAGAGGGCAGAAAATCAAAATGCAAATTTATGGGCCAGAAATTGTTGCAATATAAGAAGGACATTAGCATTCTTTTAATGCTTCTATGTGAGAGTATGAATTAAACAGATTAATATTAAAACAAAAGACTTCTGAAGAAAAGAGAGACAAACAGTTCAAAAGATCAAGTCAGGGGAGACAGTTGCCAAGGGAGAGGTACTGTGGCTGCCCCTGGAATCTCGAGGGCACTTAGACTTTTCACTTTTATTTCTAGCTTGCAGCAGAGATGTTTACGCAGGCCTAGACATGAAAGGCCTGAACTACAACGGCTCTGCCGCGAGGAGTGTTCAGGAATGTCAGGAGAGGTGCACAAATGACATCCACTGTCACTTTTTCACGTACGCAACGGGATATTTTCCCAGCTCAGAGCATCGGTGAGTGAGCTGGAAGCTGAGCCCGAGGATGCAGAAACCTCGGTGAAAAGTAAAATGCTGATTCATTAAAAGTATTTCTCACTTTGATGGCAACATTTATTTTTAACCCTAAAAGACATTTGTATAATAGTAATTGTTTTTGTCATGGGAAGTTCATTTAAAAACAGCTTGGGTGCATTTAATTTATGGTAAAGAGTCTGTCTTTTCACAACACTTATAACATATGTATACACTTAACCTATATCCCAGCTAATTTCAAAAGTGCTACATTTTAAAATTGGTAATCTTGAAAGAGCTACAGTTGGTTTCATCGCAATTAAGTTCAAATTACTAATATTCAGATTTTAACACTGGATTTTAACATTCTGCTTTCCATATTCATGAAAAGGAGGTAAGTTGGAAAGCACACAAAATATTCAAAGACGATGATTAAACTTAAAAAAACAGGATGACATGAAAACAGAGGAGAGACTTAGACAAGAGAAAGTGATCAGGGAGGAGAGAAAAGAGATATAAGGGAGAGTAATAGGGAGAGAAATGATCACAATATTTTATTCATATATAAAATGCCACAATGAACTCCAATACTTTGCAAAATTAATATGCTTTAATCATTTATATGAAAAATATCCAAACTAAAAAATTATTTAAAACATCAAATTGGTAATTAGTTCTCCATGGCTATGTTTAGGTCCACTGAGAGAATTTATTTCATGTCTCAGGGAAAAGAGCATAAACTGCAAGCTGGGAAAATATTGAGGCATTACAGGAAAAATGAATGCATTAAAATAGAAAAGAGACAGAGAAATCACTCGTTCATTTATTTCTTCTCTTCATGTCATCACTGCTCCCAAGCTGTCATTTTATTGGCAAAGGAATGAGGTTCACAAAACCCACTGGACCCCCAGGTGGTTGGTGATAGCGCAGGGACACAAGTCAGCAGAGCAGCCTCTCAGCTGAATGCTTCCCAGGGTGATGCCTGCACTGCCGTGCCCAGGTGCTCGCTCCAAAGGGCAGTTTCTTGTTGCTACAAGCAGTTGACAACATAGAAGATATTTTTCCATTCTGGTTTTCATTCAGGAACTTTTGTCTATTGAAGCACACCAAAACAGGAACACCAACCAGTATAACGAAGCTTAATCATGTGGCATCTGGATTTTCACTGAAACCCTGTGCGCTTTCTGAGCTGGGTAACTACTGCTTTCTGGATGGGGTAGTTGAAAGATTAAATAGCGTATAAAGTTTATGATAAGATCAATAGGCTTGATGTTGGACCTGAGTTTGTGCTCACTGATGAAATGCACCCAATGATCTTTTCTCTTTTTATAATAGAGCTCATTATGTCTTATATAGAGCTTATATGTAAATTTCAAGTTTAAAATAGTAATGTTATTTCTTCATAAATTAAAAACACTGAAATCTCTGGATAAGCTTAAATTTTTTAATAGGGAATTTACAAATATTGTAATAAAAATGTCCATGATTCTGCCGGTGCATGGATTTCCTAACAAGGTTTCCTCTGCTGTCCAGCTTGTATTAGGGACATTTTCCCTGATACGGTGTTTGCAGACAGTAATATCGACAGCGTTTTGGCTCCAGATGCTTTTGTCTGTCGCCGCATTTGTACTCATCATCCCGGATGTTTGTTTTTTACCTTCTTTTCCCAAGAATGGCCAAAGGAATCTCAAAGGTACGGAGCTATGACTAATGGTGATTTGTTGTCTTTTGAAAACAGCTGATGAAAATCCATCAGTGAATGTCTTGTGTAGCTAAAAGTTGTATTTAAACATCTGTACAGGATAGAATTTGCAAAGAAGAACTCTTGGATTCTCTCATTTCTCCTTTCCACCTACCGACCACAAATCTGATGCTATCAGTCGCTCTTGGTTTTTTGTTTGTTTTAAGCTTAGAGGTCTCCGCCTGTGGTAGAGGGAGAGTTGTCCAGTTGTCAGTAGGATGAAGAGGATAAGTCTGGTCATTAGAAGGCAGTTCATTCCACTGCAAAAAGAGCTGCAAATGTCAGTAAGATGGCAAATCCAAAGTAGAAACAGAGGTGAAAATGAAGACCTACACCAAGAAGTTTGGGTTAAATGGGAGATTTGAGGATTGAGGCCCTATTTCCCTACTGATGGGAATTAACACAGGACAACATAAAAAGCATGGTATATTTCTTTGGTCACTTAAGGGATGCATGCTGAGGTTGTTACCCTTCATGCACAAGAATCATACACAAAAAAATAAACAAATAAAAAAGCCAGAAGGTTAAGTCAGCTTCAAACATAGGTCTTTCTATGTTATCTGAGTTGGAGCTCTTGAAGCTGTCGGCATGCGCTGGCCTTGGCTGCCCACTGCTGAGAAGAGCAGCTCTCGTAACCACCCAGCCAAGTGGGCCCCTGGGTTCACTGTCCATCGGGTAAGCCTCATTTTGCAGTCGGCGAGACTGTAATGTCAGGGGCACAAGACCTGTCACATGAAAATATATTTGTTACTTTCTTTTATGAACAAGTTTAATATAACTTATTCAATGTCTGCTACATATCAAGAGTTATTCTAGGGATATCATTAGCGAGCCAAGTAAGTGAAAAGCTTGCCTCCTTGGACCAGGGTGGAGACGATAGAGAAGCGTTCAGACGGGAATGTGTGCTGATATGCAGCCAATGAGATTTGCCGATGGGTTGGCTGTGGGCTGCGAAGGAAAGAAAGGGTCAGCGATCCTACGGAGATCTTTGGCCCGCGTGCTCGGAAGGATGGAAATGCCCGAGACTAAGATGGGGAGGACTTCATGAGGAACAAAAGCCAAGAGGATGAGGTTTCTTTCGGACATGAAGGGAGAATGTTGAGCTGGCAACTGGAAATAGAAGTCAGCTTCAAAAGGGGTTCATGCTCTAAATCCGTGTTCCAGTCTCCCCAGCACATAGCTTGGTAATTAGAGCCACAAGACCGGTGAGATCATCAAGCGACTGACGCAGACAGAGCAGAAGAGAGGTCCAAAGACGGAAAAGTCAGGCAATTCAGAAATAAGAAAATTCAGAAATTAGAAGAAAGCTTTTGTAATTTGTCGTTTTGTGATTGTCACTTCTTCATTTTATTTTCTTTTATAAAATTACCAATCACCTAGGTGTGGTAGTACCTACCTGCAATCCCAGTACTCAGGAGGCTGAGGCAGGAGGATTGCTGTGATTTCAAGGCCAGCCTGGACTATACAGTGAGTTCAAGGCCAGCGTGAGCTAAAAAGCATGGTATATTCTATTTCAAAATTCTATTTCAAAAAGACAAAAAAATTACCAATCAATGCTTATAAGAGAAGTAATACATTTCATTCTTAATACAGAGTAGGAGAGGAACTGCAAGCCTTGGCTAAATTGAATTTAAATTATATAAAATTAAAAATTCACTTCCCCACCTGTCTTAGTCACATTTCAAGTGGCCAATAGCCATAAGTGGCCACTTGTTACTGTATTGCATGGCACAGCCAGAGAATATTTCTACCACTCCAGAAAACCCTGTTGGGCAGCTCTACTCAAGTCTATTGTCTTGAGCGACTTAGGAAAAGTCTCTCCCTTTCATGAAGATGTTGCCTGCAGGTTAAAGAATCAGTGATGGATTTCATTTGTACATTTCTAAGCCTGGATAGGAGATTTTTAGGTATCATGAAAATTCTTTTTAAAAATATATTTCACTTGTGTCTATAAATTTTATAAAACAATGAGGTTCAGTGTGATCATACATTTGATCATATCTATCCTCACTTCCCTCCCTAACACTCGCCCCCATTCCTCTCCTGGATCCAATAATGGTCTCCCTTCCAGTGTGGAAATCATGTGATATTTGATCTCCAGTTCCATCTGTCTTCCTGCAAATGTCCTAATTTCATTCTTCTTTTTAATTGAATAATATTCCTCTGTGTGTGCATGCATGTGTGTGAGTGCATGCGCGTGCGTGCATGTATGTGTGTATCACATTTGCTTTATTCATTCCTAATAAATTGGTGGGCACCACGATTGGCTCCATACCACGGTTATTGTGAACAGTGCCTCAATAAAGACATGTATGTAGGTATTCAGTGTGGAAATTCTTGAATCTTGAGACAGACTAGGAGTGTTGATAGAAAGGAAATAAAAAGTAAAGATGGTAAAAACACTCAATAGACCAAATTGTGACCATAGAGTCAGATGGTTTAGTTCTGAAATTTTGTCTGCAACCTATGGGGTCTTAGGATATGACTCAATAATTCACAAAGAATGCTATAAAACTAAGAACATTTTTGCTACTAAATGGCAATATGGGTCGACTTTCCATATGTGCTGCAAAAATGTTCTTGTGTTATGTTTTACATGATATATTTACATCTTCTTCCCCTTTCTCACTGTCAGAAATCTTTGCCTCCTGAAAACATCCGAAAGTGGGTTACCAGCTATCCGCATTCAAAAGCACAAAGCCCTCTCTGGCTTCAGTCTACAAAACTGCAGGCACAGCATCCCCGGTAAGCAATGAACCCATTTCCTTGTGGTGAGATCAACAGTTCCTGAGGAGACTGGTGAATGCTCACGTCATCTGTCTCACTGCTGGTATGTGCTGTGTTGTCTAGTATTCTGTCACTCTTCTTTTTACCGTGACACCGATTTCCTGGGAGAGGAACTGGACATTGCTGATGTGAAAGGCCATGAAGACTGCCAGAAAATGTGCACCAATGCTATCCGCTGTCAGTTTTTTACCTATTTGCCGCCTCAAGAATCTTGCAATGAAAGGAAGTAAGAGAGATGAAGGCTTGCAACAAAAGGAAGTAAGGTAGATGTGTCTGCCTCAGCTATTTTTGAGGGGACTTATATTTATCCTCCTTTCTTTCCAACTGTAGAGGCAAATGTTACTTAAAACTTTCTTCAAATGGATCTCCAACTAAAATACTTCATGGGAGAGGAAGCATCTCTGGATATACATTAAGGTTATGTAAAATGGATAACGGTAAGTGTGATGTCACTTGGAAAACTACATATGGAGGAATTATTCTATACTAAATGTATCATAACTAAGATGATAACAGCCAGAGAGGGCTAATGCTAGTAAAATAACAAAGTTAGAAATTTTTCATTATTTTTACTTCTTTCAGACAAGCTAACCATGTTTTAAAGGTATAAATTATATCTTAGGTAAACCTCGCCTTACATAATATGAATTGAATATGCATATTAATTTGAAGCATTTACCCAACTAAGATTCCTGATGGCCACAGATTCAGCCAACACTGATATGGCTGATTCTCATTATTAATGCCAGGGATCATTCTTATTATTCCTTAGGTGGAAAAATCAACCTATACCTTGGTTAACCAAATTAATCATTGTTTTCCATTTGATCTTAAAGTGAAATATAAACGATCATGATATGTTCTAAAAATTATGTATTTACTCAAGAAATACTGGAGTAACTCTTTTTTTCAGGGCTGTCATTCTTTCAGATTGACAGAAGTTCTGTGGACTTCAGTATATTAGCAACAATTACTGAGAAACTTTAGTAATTTATAACACGAATCTGGTAGGGTAGAACTAAAAATAGTGTAAAGTTTTTAGATAGTGTAAAGTTTATAATAATAAAAATTATTTTCAAATTATATCTCAACAGTGTTTCCATCCCAGTAACTAATTTCTCAGTGTAAGAGATGGTATGTAGCCAAATGCAGTTGTTCCCAGGGCCAGAATTACACCAGGGAAAGAATATTCCACAAATACTTCTTCCTAAATTATCATACTAACCTCTGTGGCTTTATCATTTATTGATTTACATCAAAACATGTTTTAGGCTGTTTGGTTCGTGTCCAAAATGATAATGCATTATATGTTTAGATTAAGCTAAGATTTAATGAATAAAATGGAAATAATAATCATGCTTGGTAATAGTTTTAGAAGTACAAAAATATTCTTTGTTGGATTATTTGCTATCCTAAAAAGGTAAATTAATCCTTAACATCTGGGAAATTATTTTGTGAAACATACAGATGCTGTAGAGCATACAGCACTAATATCCTAAGTAATGAAATATGATTTCCTAGAGTTGAAAGGTGCTTTGATGAGAATCTTTGGATGAGTTAAGGGTCTTTAGAAAAGTGCTCAATCGTGTTGCGGCTCACACATTGTATTCCTCACATCAGGTTTGCCAAAGACAGGCAGGAACATTCAAAATAGCTCTGTTGTCCTAGTCTTACTTGGCATGAGAAGGGACACAGCGAGTTTCATTAGGTGATGCTGGCGTGGTTTAGAAATAGAAATAAGCATTTACACTTGATAAACTGCAGATACCATTCCCGTCCTCCCCCCTCATTATGTACTTCTCTGTTGAGTTTTCAGTCCTCAGCCTATGGAGCTGAAAGAATGTATCTGTTTTAAATTGACAGCTGAAGGAGAAACTATAATATAAAAGGAAATAAAATTTTATGTCTTTTTAGCGCAGCTTCTGAGTTAAGTGAATTAAATAACTAGGATTTACTGGACTATATTAGATGAAATAATACTCTAATAAGAGATGGCATGTCTAGCAAATGTTGCCCATGTCCAGTATTGTTGTTGAGGTACAATATAATTTAATTTTCTGAAGATGTATAGCAAAGCCATTAAAAGAAACATTTTTAACATCAAATATAATGCTGAAAACTGTATTTCAGTATTTTGTTTAAACTGAGAAACAGAATAGAAACAACATCAATACTTTGACCTGTACCTTGCACGGTCTTTGTAGGTTATTTATAATGTATCTTAATCATGGCTTACCAACTGTTTATCCTAAACTTCGCCTTCATGCCATTTCCTGGCTTGCAGTCCATAAGAGCTGCCAATAAATTGCAGAATATTGTTCAGATCTTTAAATTGTCTTCCGAAACTACTGCCTGCCCAATCCACTCTTAAGTGGGAACTCTCTTATCAGTCTCACACTCAGTCTTATCTCAGCTTGCTGTTAAACGTTGTTTTTTTCAAAGCTTCTTTTCCCATTCTCTCCTATGTTAAATCTACCCCAGAATTATGTATACATTTTCCTATAGAGGAAAGAAAGGCCTGGGTGTAGCACACTGGCATCACCCAGGAGCTTTTTAGAAAGAATTTCGGCATCCTTCACACAAGCACTGAGTCATAGCCTGTATTTCCAAGTGCACAGGTGATCCGTATGTACACCGAAGCTTAATGTGTGGTGCTTTAGATTACTGCTGTCTCTACATGCTTTTCTCCCGCCATGCTGGCCGGGTTCTGTGGTACACTTGGCGAAGGCTTCAAAGAGAAGGCTGGGTTCTCCTATTTGGCATTCCAAGAAATAGAAATAGGATGGGGTTTCCCGTCCAAGACAGCCAAGAAAAGAAAGAAGCCCAGGGATGAGTCTGAATCAAAGTCCTTTGGATACTTTCTAAGGACTTTGATTCAAACCCCAAACTGTCAATAAGACCAAAGGGCAGAAATTCACAAGCAGAAAATCAGTCCTGGTTTGGGCATGGATGAAGCAAGCATAACTGGGAGCCAGGGTCCACCGGAGGGAGACGGTGGGGAGCGGGGATTAGACAAGGGCTGCGGACTGAGTGGAAGGTGCTCAGCTTCCGTCTGTGACATTTGTTCTCACATTTTTAGCAGGTTAAAACACAGATTGTTGGGCTCCACTGCCGGAGTTTCTGGCTCACTGGGTCGGAGGCGAGCCTGCAGAATTTATATGTCTATCTAGTCTCAGGGTGACGGTGTGTCTGGGACCACCCTTGGCAACCAGTGCTTTAAAAGGCCAAGCACTGTTATCACTGAAGGAGACCTGGCCCTGTAGTACCAGGTGGTGCGTACTTAGAAGGGGACTTGATCATGCCACTTGTATGCACATGTGTTCTTTTTTTTTTTTTTTTTTTTTTTTTTTTTTGGTTTTTCTCCGGTACCGGGAACTGAACTCACGACCTTGCGCTTGCCAGGCAGGCGCTTTTGCCGCTGAGCTAAATCCCCAGTCCCTGCACATGTGTTCTTTGCCAGCTTGATTATAAAGTCTAACTTGGGGTCCTGGTAAATTCTTGAATTGAAGAAAACTGTTCTTTCTTTTGTTCCTCAGGGAACATAGCTACGGATGGAAAATGAAGGTGTAGAAATTCGCTCACTGCAGTCTCTCTTTTGTAGTATGCACGACCAAAATCAAGCCCAGAATTGTTGGAGGAACTGAGTCTGTTCATGGCGAGTGGCCATGGCAGGTAACTCTGCAAACCACGGCACCCTTCCGGCGACACCTGTGCGGGGGGTCCATCATCCGGAGCCAGTGGGTCCTGACCGCCGCTCACTGTTTCGATGGGTCAGTGCCGGGGCTGTGTTTATCAGCCTACCACCCTCATATGTCCGGGACATCTACGGCTAGTGTAGTCGTTCATAAATACTTTTTAAATGTCAGTTATTTTATTTACTAAGTTAATTTCCTATCTTTAGTGGGGGACAAAAAGCAAAAAGGAAGAGCCACTCGAGGTCTACAGCATGGTCTTCAGCAGCAAAATGGTTCAGAAACACGGCAGTTTGACGGCGCCCTGTCCGCTTCTCATTTACATGCGAACATACCTCCGGACCTCTGTTATTTCCTATAGGAACGGGCCCTTCTTTATCAGTCTGGAACTAAACACAGGAAGAGTTTCCTGTTCTGTAATTCCAACTTCCCATGTTCACACTTGCTCTCTTTCTCTCTGCCTCTTTCCCTCTCTATTCTCTTTCTTCCCCTCTTCCCCTCTTCACAGCACCCCCTTAAAAACAGAAAACCGTCATTATGCATCCTGGATCTCATTTCCTACTTATGTCATGTTCACTCTTGGCCAAACAAATATAAAGCTCCAGCTGGAAAATGTGTGAATGCCTGTATCCCTGGAAATTTTAGCTGACCAAATGTCCTCTTTGCCATTGTAGTATCCCCTGACGTGTCCCCAGTTCCAGTTCTGTGTGTTGTAGATTTTTTATCTCTTCATGGCACGCTGACATCACAGCTCAAGAGTATATCTGAGGTTAACAGTTGCCTTCGAATCTCACATCTAGGGAAGTGGAGTACAAAAAGCCCTTAAGAATTTCTCAGGGTCACAGCTAGTAAACAGCAAGACTGAGATTAAAGCCCAGGACTTTCCACGGATATGTGCGTATATGTACTGGAGAATGGAAAGAGAATTTATTTTATAAATTTCATGTAAAATAAATGCTAATTCTGTGCCTTCTTTATGGTGGAGACATGTAACTGAAAAACTTCAGAATGAATTCACTCTTTCCACCTAAAAGTAAACTATTGGCATGAAATTTAGTAATAGCCAGTTTAATAGCTATGCATCTCAAAATATTTGGGAAATATATAATGAATGAAATAAATTTCCCTCTATTATTTGTTCCTTAGGGTAGAATCATCTAAAATTCTGCGTATTTATGGTGGCATTGTAAATCAATCTGAAATAAATGAGGATACTCCTTTCTTTGGGGTACAAGAAATAATAATTCATGATCAATACAAAGTGGCAGAAAGTGGGTATGACATAGCCTTGCTGAAACTGGAAACAACCATGAATTACACAGGTATGTAGTGTTCTAAGTGGAAAGTTATCTACAAAGGTGAGCTAGATGAAATATTTACCAGTAAGATATTCATGACATGATCCTACCAATATGTCCATGTGCTTTCATCAGAGGGGGAGGGTTTGCAAAGCTTGGCTTTCACTCTGTTAAGACTGACACTCTTGTTTGATTGTGGGATCTTATGTTGAGGGTGTGGATGAAAATTTAAGCTTCTACAGGTGCATGGGACAACATAATTACATAACATTTTAGAATATCAGGAGTAACTGAGTCTACTAGCTTCCCTTTAGGGACAAAATGATGGAAGGTCAGCATGATTAAGCAGCTTCCATGGGATCACAGACCAGTTGGAGAGAAGGAGGAAGTGGGAAGTGGTGTGGTTGTCTGTTGTCACATCCTGATCTACAGTGTGTACCACTGAACACGAGAGGTGAAAACATGTGCCCAGGAGGCGCGAAATGAACGTGACAAATAGCAAAAGCATGTAGATGAAAAGTGAGAGAGGAGAGCATCTTCTGGGAAAGAGGGTGTATTGTGCTTCTGATAATTTAACTATGTTTTTTTAAAAATTTAGATTCTCAACGACCCATATGCCTACCTTCCAAAGGAGATAGAAATGTGATCTACAATAACTGCTGGGTGACGGGATGGGGATACACAAAGTTAAGAGGTAAAAAATGCTGTTTTAATATATACTGCATCCTAGAAATAAGGAGCATAGATTAGTTCTGCACATTTTCGGCTCTATCAAGTCAGACAGCTGGAATACAAATCAGATAGCACCATTCAACTGGAGGAAGTGTACTCATAAAGATAAAAAGGTGAGAACCACCCAAGTGAGGATGATGTTATGTCAGTTTGATTAGAAGTTTTAAGTATGATTAAACCTCTTTAAAAACAATTTTTGATGAAATTTAATGTGAGATTTCGCACTTTTTAGTAAATGTCCTAGTTTGTTATCTAGTTATTTTCTCTGGGAAGTAACTCTAATAAGAGTCATAATTAATTTTTAGGCTTGATTAACATTAATAAAGTGGAATGCACCCCAGGGGGAACAATGTCTTTTTATACCCTATAATTATAAAAGGCCTATGAAGTACACCTAACAGTTTTCTTCCTAGATTTTTATACAAGTACAATCTTTATTTTAAAGATATATATACTTTATAGATGATTATCCTGCTAACGAACCACAATTTTTTAAAGACAAGATACAAAACACTCTCCAGAAAGCCAAGATACCCTTGGTGTCAAATGAAGAATGCCAGACAAGATACAGAAGACATAGAATAACCAACAAGATGATTTGCGCAGGCTACAGGGAAGGAGGGAAGGATGCCTGCAAGGTAACAGAGTTTCTCAACCACTTGAATATTCAAATTAGGATCCTTAATGCATTTTAAAAGCAGTTTTCTGCCAATAAGAAGCAAGACATATTTATCTCATTTACTGAAAACTAATGTATGTACACTGGATGAAAGTGAGCAATCAGGTTCTTTGAAGTTTATGAAGGGACGGGGCTGAATTTTAGGCAAAATAACTCTGAACAAATGTACTTATTATGGGAAGCATCTATAGTCATCTGTGCTACTTCTGCCCCTCCCCTTTTTACAGGGAGATTCTGGGGGTCCCCTGTCCTGTAAGCACAATGAGGTCTGGCATCTGGTGGGCATCACGAGCTGGGGTGAAGGTTGTGGTCAGAGAGAACGGCCGGGCATTTACACCAACGTGGTTAAGTATGTGGATTGGATTTTGGAGAAAACTCAATCAGTGTGAAAGGAGTCCTAGGTCCACTTGACCCCTGACAGACAAACCAGATCGTTCCCTGGAAGAGGGCTCTGATTTCACTGAAGAAAACACGGCGATGTTATGTTTCCTCCATTACGAATTGCATGGGCCTGATGTTCTAAGACAATATTTAAAAACTGTGTTTTGAAAACTCCCACTTGGTGGTAGTTGTGTTTTGTTTTCAGCATACAGTGTCCCGCTGTTTGATTACACTTTTACTTAGCCAAGGAAATCCCATAAGGAGATATTTTTGAAGATCACCCCCATAGCAGTTATTCCAAAACTGCCAAGCAGTGGCACCAACAGGCCAAGTAGACTTCCTAAAAGGAATCCACAGCAAACTTACTGAAAAGTGTCAAGTGATGGCACAAACGGACCAGGTAGAACTGCTGTGAGAGGAACCCAGCACAAAAAACATTGCTAAGTAAAAAAGGAAACGGTAAGAAATGGGAACAAACACAGTCATCACCAATATGCAAGACTCTGTTCTCTGCCTCTGGAAACACATTTCTTGTGTAGAGAAGGAATTTGACTGAACTTAATGACAGTGTTTCAGAAGGGTGAACAATTCTTGTCTTCTCAGTTTTTAATGTATATTGCATATTAATGTGGGTAGGCACAAGCTAAAATTGAGTCTGAAATGAAGATTCCAGAATATGTATATGGGAGACTAGGATGAGCAATTTACCTAGAAGTGGTACTGTAGTACCTTAGGGGACAAATTCTGGAGATGCGCTTGCCTAGGAGACCATTTGTGCATAGACGGTATACTATTTGCAGTGCTTTTGGAAGGGGAAGGTTAATGGAGACAAGGGAGAAAAACTGCCTCACTAAGGAAAGCTGCTGCTCTAAGTGTAGTTTTCAAAGAGCTAGATAATAGATATGTTGAGAGAAATCAATATAAAATACAGCCATACTACAAGGAAAAAACAATTTTGGAGCAAAGGGATGCTCACAGTGAAGGCTTTGCATCTTCAAACAGCTGTTTGTATTCTAAACACAGAAGTATTCTCTTTCCTGGAAATACTTACCTGGTTATTCTTCTGTTATAGCACAATAGCCTAGAATTAGAACTATCTCCACGTCGCTATTGTGTCAATAACGATACAATTCCCCCAATATGAGAAATATTTATTGAGCAAAATTATGTAACAGTATCACACTGAGCCTTGGGTGAGTAAATAAACTGCAGTTTCATGAAGTTTACAGTCCAGTTAACATGAATAACAAGTAAAATAAATGCACAAAAAATGTATAATTTCAAATTTAAATAAGCAAAGTGCACAAAGTTCTCTAAAAAAGGAAGAAGGATAAATTCAAGTGGGATAAGAAGGGCACAGCTCTGAGGAAGAAAAAGAAAAATAACAACCCCATCCCTAACCCCAAAGTTCAAAATGACTAAAAGAGCATAAACAAGCCAGACCCCAAATATATGTAGATTCAAATAAACCTGGAGATGAAAATTGTAGCTCCTTAAAACTAGCAAACACTATCATCCCATTTTATATCTATTACCTTAATAGGGTTGAGGTAACACTTCACACAGAGAAAGATTAGTGTGTCATTTCTGAAGTGATCTTTCTGTAAAGTCTTTTCTGAAAAGTATTTGATGAAAACACATTTTTGGTTTTTAGTATGTAACTTTATATAATGTCTTAATATTTGAATACCTAATCTATGCCCATGATTCAGAAATTAAAATACTGTGAGAAGTTATAAAATGTAAATGATGAAGATGCCTTTCCCTGCATCCAAAGATTGCTCAAACTGTACACTTAATGTTTTTCTCACTTAACTTTCAGTCTTTAATCTATTTCTGATTGCTGCAGAGTGTAGTTCCTTAGTCTGTTACAGAGCCATGGTATTCTATCGCAGAGCTCCCAAATTTTATTCAATCCATCCCCAACTGAAGGACACTTAGGTTGTTTCAGTCTTTTCTCTTCTGTATTTGTGCAGGTCAATTTGTACAACATATTTTAAAAGCAGAATTTCTGAAAACAACAACATCTTCAACAATATAAAAAGGAATGTAGGAATATACTTGCAGTTTTGATAAATTTTGGCAAATTTCACTTCCAAAAATTTGTAGTAATTTTCCCTCCCACAATTCAGTAGATAGAAAAAGGTATCTCAGTTTTTATTTTGAATTGCTTTAATGTAAATGACAGTGTGTTAATTTGGTGGACATGACCACCAAACTAATAATTGCTTTATTTTTTACCCAAATATTAATTTGGCAGTTACTTTGTAGACAAAAATGGAATATGTTCTTTGCAGTCATAATAACATGGTAAGAATTTCTGCTAAAAAGGAAAACAATTCCACAACGTATATCGTTCAAACCTGGTAGTGGCTCAGTATGGTGGAAATACTGGTTGTCTACCCTTCTCCCTACGTGCCATGGATGTGCACTTGGGGTTCAAGTGACTTCATCTCCTGTTCCAGGGGTGGATGTGCACAATGCTAATTTGTGCACATTCACTGACACAGTCTCATCTTCCTTGCCCTGGGAAGCCGGTCGCAGTGGGCAGGTCAAGGTATCTGACACATAGCTTCCCCCAGCCACAGTGAGCGGGTCATCAGTCTGCGCAGTCTGAGACTTTGTATGAATTGTCGAAGGCGTGGCTTTCTCTGCCCGCCCCCATGTGGATGAGGAAGCATCTACCTTTACAGGGGTGGTGCAATCTTGAGAAGCCCAAAGACCACGGGATGCAAAGGCAGAGTGCTGAGAGCTGAGTAAACCCTGCCCTTCCTATTTCATAGCAATAAATCTCCTCTTCATGTTTAAGGCAGTTTGAATTTAGATTTTTATTACTTGCAAAAACATCCCAGTGTACCAGGATAGTCACCAGAAGTATTATTACTATGACTCAATTATTTTCTAAAACTTAATTCTTTTGGCAGTACTGCTGATCAAATCTTGGGCATCCTAAGCTCAAGCTCTACCACCCAGCCCTGATTCAACTAAATCTAATCCTACATTTGTTAGTTGTTTATTACTGTGCTGTTCTAGGAAATATGGTTTATTACTTCCCCAGTTTTAAAAGTTCTATTTTCTAAAAAGCGATTTGTGCTGTGAATGCTCAGGAAGGTTGGATACAGCTTTCTACTGTAGCTAGGTTGTACTATGCTGTGTAAGCTATATAGTTTATCATTTATGGCCACTACCCACTTAATTTAAATCTTCAAGGTGACTACATTTGAAATACCTCAGAGCAACTGGTCCAGAGCAGTATTTAATATATTTACCTGATCACTTTTGCTACTGGGTGTCAGGCAGTTTTATTGCAAATGTAATAGGGTGGGAGTCCCAGGTGGCAGTAATTGTTCCTGAATGTTTGATTTACTGATTTACCTGCTCTACCTAGAGAGGTGTCAGAATTTATCTTTTACCTGCCGATGCCATTTTTCCACTGTACCTTACAGTCCCTAGAGAACAGATATGGGCTTTGTAACCACCAGAAACTTTCAAAAGACCCTGTGCTACACATAGGCAGCTACTATCACACTAGGAAACTGTCAAAAGAATAGTCAGAGAACTCCTGAGGTTGGGAAGGCATTTAAATAAGTACATGCAATAGGAAACCTTGTTTAATAAGCTTAATAAGTACAAGCAAACAGCCTCTAACAGAGTATGAATATTTTTAGTAAGTCTCGGCCACCATCATTTGAAATAGCTCATTATATGAACAGGAAAGTACTAAACAGAAACCAAGACAAAAAGTTACTTCCTCACAAATATTCATATAATTAAGCAAATTGATATTTGATATGAGTGGATCTAGATATACTTCTCAAGTCATTACTTCACCTAGTTAAGGGAAGCTTAATTCAGGGTTTAAAATAATTTTTCTGTGCCAGATTTACTTCACTGTGTTTGTGACATGGCAAGAAAAATCGAGCTAGGCGTGCTTTCTAGACTTACCAGTTATCTTTTCTGTATTCAGATTCTAGCTTTGCAAATTAAAAATCTGAAATGTGATGAGTAGCCTTTGATTCTCTCTGACAATCAGTGGGTGAGTTTAGCGGAGTATTTATGGGTGTGCTCAAGTTCAACAAATGAACGGCTCAGATTCTCAGTTACTCACTCTTCCAGCTGAGCTAAATTCTAGCATTTTGTGTTTCAGTTCTGGTTCTGGCGGGTATTTTCCCTCCTATTATTTGTGTTATTAAAGCACATATAAAGAGAGTTAATTCTGCTTCTGGGAAACTGAGTAACAAGGTCAAAGTTGCTCCAGGGTCTAATTAATTTACTCCTTTTGAGTTTTTGCCTTGAGCAGAGTCCTGTTCATAAAGAAGTGGTGATACCAGTGGAAGGCGCTGTTTGGTATCTGAGTTACTGGTGGTGCCTACGCTGTTAGAGTTGAGGGAGGATTTGGCAATGACATTCAGAGAAATGAAGCCCGGTGTGGGGAGGTGGTGCCTCTCGGCCCCCACGGCTCCTCAGGGCAACAGCTGAGCTGAGGGAATGCCGTCTTGACTATTGACGGCAGGTCTTTAGCTGTCAATTTACCCCTGAGGTCAGGGAGTAGCGTTTGACAGAAAAGCAGTCCACTTGTCAGACATGATTCTCTTTGCTGCTACATATACACTGGAAAGAAGCAAGCTGCTGAGACTCCAGGCTCATTATTTAAATGCATTTTATAGCCAATAGCCATTCCATCCGCACCCCCAGTGTTGAACTCGGGGTCTGCTCTGGTCCTGAGTCAGGACCTGTAAGTTTTCCCAGCTTCCTCTTGCTAAGGCAATCAGGAACACCAAAACGACACCTAGGTTTGGAGGCAGATTTATTTCACATTGATGGGCACTGATTGTGATCCTTCCCAAAATATCAGGCCCCAAAGGCTCAGGGAGGGAGGTTTTATGGGATTGCAAAGGGGAAGTTCAGAGGTGAGTACTTGCGTGTTTTTGATTTGTTCTTACATTATGCATCATAGTGACCGGCCATGTCTAGGAGACAGAAGCAATGGGAACTGCAACAGGAGCTATTACTTGGGAAACTAAGAAACTGATGTATCCTGGCTGGGGGAGGGGCATTATCTGTTTCATTCTAAACTCTAGTAGCTTCTAGGGAACTATTTTGGAATATTGCATGTTGAAATCAACTAGGAGCTTTGTGAGCAACCTATTTAACAGTTCCGTGGAAGGTGTGATTGC